TCTTATTATCATTAACACTATTATTATTATTATCATTATTAATATCATTATCATCATTACCTGTTACAACCATCATCATCCCAGTAATTAACACAGGTATTCCCGTCACCTGCTTGGGTTACATCATATAATTTCACCTCTTACCTGAGATTAATTAGTAACTCCTCGTGACGTAATTACCTGCATGTATCTCACCTGGTCACGCACCTGTCTAGAGACGGAGCCTTAGAAAATCGTAAGTTTTTTTTTAGGTTGTTCTTAGTGAGAAAATTACCTATATGAATTCACTTAGGCTGAGAGAGAGAGAGCCTGGCCTTGTAATATAGAAGCGAAGGTGAATTGTGTTACCTGCTTTAGAAGTATGTCAGGTGAGGTAAGGTAGGAGCTCAGGTGAGGTAGGAGGCTCAGGTGTCAGGTGAGGTAAGGTGATGGTGAAGGTGTCCTATAATTACTACTTACCTGAAGGTCTGCCTCCTATAATTCATCATTATCATCACCATCATTATTATTATCATTATCAGTGAGGAGGCTGTGGTGTGAGAGGGCGGAGTTGGATTAGGATGGGGGCGGAGTTGGGATAGGATGGGGGAGGAGTTAGGTAGGGACGGAGTTGGGATAGGATGGGGGAGGAGTTAGGTTAGGGTAGGGACGGAGTTGGGATAGGATGGGGGGTGGAGTCGACGGGGGGTGTATATATAGCAACTCTCATCTCACAGCATCCGGGGCCCCTACGGTAAGTCCGGTAAACACTGCCTCAGAACATTATACAAGCCATCAATTAGCCATCATTATTACGCTCGCCAGCTCTACCAACACCCGTGTAACTCTCTATAAGAACAACAACACTCACGAATTTTATCCCAGCATGTTAAATGGAGTGACGTGCCAGTTGTCAAATAGAGACGAGCCTAATAATATTTTGTTTTTGTTTCAGTCATGTAATCGCTTATCTGAGCTATGCAATAAGTAATAACAGTCACCATGGCGGCCAAATAGTACTGACAGTATGGGAGTTAGTGCATACGTGAGGGAGGGTCAGTGATCAGGAAACATGAGGGAAGGATATGCGAGGCTGGCATATAGGTTTACCGTATAGCTTTAATTAACATAATCCAGGTACCGTGACCAGGGTAGAGGGTAGGGGAGGAGGTCACGCGAGAGAGAGAGAGAGAGAGAGAGAAACTGCCTGTAGAGCTGCTTGATGTACAGTACTATTACAACAGGTCATAGCCAACATCATAACAGCTGTCAGACCCCTACCCGTCACCTCCCTCTCACCCCCCTCCCCCTACACACATCAAGGGGGTCAGACTACACATTGATTCTTTATTACAGTAACGAGCTCCTCTCAATCATCTCCTTCGTGGTTTTGTTTACATGTGATCAGCTGATGATGACGTCACTAGATGCGGAGGGGGGGGGGTTATGAATGAATTTGTGTGTGAGGAAAGAAGGAGAGGATAGAAGGACGAAGAGATAAGAGGAAGAACAAGAAGAAGGAAGAAACCATTATAAAATTCCCTTTAAAAACCCCATAAATAAATCAATACATTGGTCGAGCCTAAAATAGCAATCCGATCGAATCCCTTTTTGGTGATATAAATCCGTGACGTCATCAGCGGCTATAAGAATACCCTCTATGGTAAATAAAGACCTATACAGTATAGTCTCACGTACATGTTGGCGCCATATTGGATCGTCATAGATTAATGGATTAAATCCAGATTAAATGGCGATATTTAATTAACGTTTGAAGGTTGGCGGCGTTGAATTAAGGCTTCACATATGTTACTGGGGAAATATTCATCCATCCATCCACACACCCATCCACCCATCCATCTATCTATCCATCCAACCATCCATCCATCCATCCATCTATCTATCCATCTATCCATCCATCCAGCTATCCACACACCCATCCATCCATCCATCTAGCTATCCATCTATCCATCCACCCACCCAACCACACACCCATCCACCCATCCATCTATCTATCCATCCATCCATCCACCCATCCATCTATCTATCCATCCATCCATCCATCCATCCATCCATCTATCTATCCATCTATCCATCCACCCATCCATCCACACACCCATCCATCTATCTATCCACCCATCCATCCACACACACCATCCACCCATATATCTATCTATCCATCCATCCATCCATCTATCTATCCATCCATCCACACACCCATCCATCCATCCATCCACCTGTCTCTCAATTCATGATTTACCCAACAATGAAACGTGACAACAAATTGCTCTCCCAGGTAACCAATTGTTCCTCAGGTAACCAATTAGTAGAACACGTCAAGAACACTAAGAACAACCTTTGAAGAAGACGTATGTGAGTGAACTGTGTGTGTGTGTGTGTGTGTGTGTGTGTGTGTGTGTGAGGTTAAGCCCTGGGAGGGGGGGGCAGGAGGAGGCCACCTGTGATATTTGGAGGCGGGATTAATGGTTGCTGGGGTGACGGAGGGGGAGGGGGGATGACGACAGATGTGTGAGAGAGAGAGAGAGAGAGAGTAGGGGGTAGGGTGGACGGGCGGGGGTTGTTGGGTGGGTGTCCACTCCCTCACTTCACAAAGTCTCTTTTACATACACTCACTCTGTCTCTGCCTCACCTCTCAGATGGGTGTACAAGATGGGGGAGGCAAGAGACCTTCTCCACACGCCCACATAGCCGCCCACACTGCCGCCCACGCCCACTGCACGCCTCTACTTGTTGTGTCACCCACTTCACCCACTGCAAAACCATCACATCTGCCCATGCCTGTGACGAGGTTAGGCTGTTGTTGTGTTGCGATAGATAGATTGTTGTGTTGCAATAGATAACATCGTCATACAAAAGCACATTGATTCCTCGCTCCAAAAAAGTATCTTGACGATTTTGTGTTGAGAAAATATAACACAACAGACGAAGCATTATGACAACCCTACCGAGACAAGAGGAGTCACAGTGTTCATTGTGGAACTGATCGATCACCCTCTGTCAAGATACTGTTTGGAGCGAGCTAGAGACAGTAGGAAAGTTTATGATACATGAAAGTTTTAAAGTTATGAAAGTTTTAAGAGTTGTAAAGTACAATATTAGAATGTTTTAATATATAGAGGATCACCCTGCCCTAAATAAGACCTTCCTCTCTGTTAACTCCTACAGATACGTCAACAGAGAGCCAGTGCCCCTTGTTAACTGTACCTCCTGGCTCCACACCCGAGGAGACGTCACCCCAACACACACGCCCACGCCCTCACACCCGCCTGGATTCAGAGGGTCTAAGATTCCTGTCCGGTGAGAAAGAGAGAGAGAGAGTGAGAGGGTATATAAATATCCCTCAGGTGCTAAATTCATACATCAGCTTGATCATTAAAGACTTACTAAACACATCCCAAACTGACGTACCGGACATAAACGTCACCCATCTGTCACTCGACTAAATTTCACCCAGGAATAAACTCGCTATAAAAATGTTTATACTTATACGTTTTATCAGTCATAGCCACTTAAGGGACAAGTAGGTTAGTGGTTGGTAATCGAAGGTGATAAAAACGTTAATAGGAATTACTTTGATAAGACGAGAGTAAGCGATAGGGTAGAGGGGCGCTGCCAACACACTGCCTTGTCGGACGTATCATTTGGTTTACATCTTGTCTAAATATTCTGTTTTGAGGACATTTTATGAGTTTCACTTCCATGTACTAAGTTATTAATTATTTTTGTTTATAATTTGAGCCAAATTGACCAAATGTTGACCTAGCGGAAGAATATTTACAAATTAATTAGATTTCTTGACGTAAATATGGGAGGCAGACAGTGATGACTAATGTATCCTTTGATAATAATACAGTAATTAAATTAATGTATCCTCTTGTATTTTATTAAGGAGATATTTATAAACAATTCTGTCACACGTAAGTTTTAATTGTTGATGCAGTTTAATTACTCATCTTGGTACGTGCTTAAAGACCTTAGTTGTTGAAGCGTAGTAATTTCATTGTGACGTTAACGAGGAAGGTATTATGATTATCTTAGCTAATTAACTGTCTTTGTTGGGACAGGTAACGAAGACTGTCTATGATTAATATTGTTTATTTATTCTGTGTCTAACGATCTTCACTAGTCTGTAGAGCTATATTTGTGTACTCTCTCTCTCTCTCTCTCTCTCTCTCTCTCTCTCTCTCTCTCAGCATCTTTTCTTTTGCTGTTCTCCAGTTCCATATAGACTTAATGGTCGTCTGGGTTGACTGGAAGATAAATGGAAATAAAAGTAACATCGTATGCCCTCCAGTGCCGACCAGCTCTCGTGAGGGGGTGCAGAAGGGTGATAGGGCTAGGCAGAGCAGGGGCAGGGCCGGGGGGGGGGGGTCTTACACACGTCCATAACTAACACGTTCCTCTTCTGTCACAGGTCCTCGAGGTCGGTGAATGAGAAGCACCTCAGAGGGGGTGGTATAACCAGTCGCTTCTGCCGCTCCAAGAGTCTTAACTTACTGGCTGATGAAGACGACCTGAGCCTGACATCACCACCACGAGGACGTCACCACCACTCACCACTCTCCTCACCAGGCTCCCCTCGTCACCTGTCACCATCCTTGCGTCATCTCAGGAACTCTCAAGAAGAAGATAGATCAAGGTGCTACTCAGACTATAGCTTGAGTGGGACTCCAAAACTACAAAGGCCTTATCGACTTTGTAGGAGAAAATCGTCCCCCAGTTCCTGTCGAAGAAGTTGCCAGTCACCCTCCAGTCTATCCTGCTGTAGTTGGCAATTCTCCTCCAGTTCCTCCTGCAGTAGAAGACAGTCAGTAGCCAGTCCATTGACCTGTCGACGTCGCCACTCCTCAGGGTCATCACAGGGAGGTCACGAACCATACCAGACGCCTCAGTACTTCACCTTTCACCTCACCCTCCGTAGTCCCGCCACCTCCCCGTCAGGAGCGAGAGCCAGATCCTCCCTCAGGTAAGCCAGAGTTCACAGTTGAGTTAATTAAATCACCTGAAGATTAACCTCTCATCTTATTTTACCTTAAGATTAACCTAACCTAACCTAACCTAACCTGATCTAACCTAATCTAACCTAACCTAATCTAACCCCCTAAGTGGCGTTTGGGTTCTTAATCATCAGGTGAATTAGTTAGGGAAGTTAATCTTCAGTACAGGTATACAAACAATGTACACAGAGAGTGTGTACAGCTTATATACTTCTGAGACGCACACACACACACACACACACACACACACACACACACATATTTTTTTCTTTCTATCTTTCTCTCTCTCTTCCTTTTCCCCCACCCCCCTCTCTCTCTCTCTCTCTCTCTCTCTCTCTCTCTCTCTCTCTCTCTCTCTCTTCTAGCTCTCTCTCTCTCTCTCACCCCAACAACAACAGCAGGATCCTCAGCCAGCCAGTCATAGTATATTTATAATTAGTATAATCAATAGTGTTTTTCCTCGCCAAATATAGTAATTAATGAAGGATAATTTACCTTACGTTGTTGATACACAGATCATTGATACACAGATCATTAAGCGGAAAGACTTAGTATTATTGATTAATAGGCTTAGAATTATAATCTTATTTTGGTTTGTGTTGTGTTGGGGGGTGAGGAGTGTGTAGAAGTGGTGTTATGTGGGAAGGGTGTTGTGGGGGGGTGTAGAAGGGTGGGGGGTGTTGGGTGAGGGGGTGTTGTGTGGGGAAAGTGTTGGGTGAGGAAGGGTGTTGTGTGGGGGGTGTTGTGGGGAAGGGGGTGTTGGGTGAGGAGAGGTTGGTGGGGAAAGGGGTGCCAATATGTGGGGAAGGGGGTGTGTGTGTGGGGAAGGGGGTGTTGGGTGGGGGGAGGGGTGTTGTGTGGGGAAGGGGTGTTTGGGTGGGGAGGGGTGTTGTGTGAGGAAGGGGTGTTTGTGAGGAGGGGCTTTGGGTGTTGTGTGGGGGGTGCTGTGGGGAAGGGGGTGTTGGGTGAGGGGGTGTTGTGGGGGGTGTTGTGTGAGAGGGGGTGTTGTGGGGAAGGGTGTTGGGTGAGGGAAGGGTTGGGTGAGAGGGGTGTTGTGGGGAGGGTGTTGGGTGAGGAAGGGTGGTGTGTGGGGGTGGGTGGGGGGTGTGGGGGGGTGCTGTGGGGAAGGGTGTTGGGTGGGGGGGGGTGTGTGGGGGGGTGTTGTGTGAGGGAAGGGGTGTTGTGTGAGGGAAGGGGTGTTGTGTGGGGGAAGGGGTGTTGTGTGAGGGAAGGGGTGTTGTGAGGGAAGGGGCTATTATGTGTGTATGTATGTGTATTAAATGATGTATGTGTGTATATACAGTCCAGTATACATGTGTGTGAGTCATCCTCTCATTCACAATAAGCCATAAAACATCAACATACGATACTTTAAGAACCAGAGAACGAAACGTAATGAAAAATATCAAAATATATCCCTCCATCTCCTGTCAATCCACCGTTGAACATCCCCGACATGAAACAACGAGACGGATTTAATGAAGCCGGATTCTACCGTGTGATTCGTGAGCGCTCCTGTACAGACAACCTCACACACTCCTACTTAAACTTGGAAAAAATATGCATAAATGTATTAGAATATTGATTTATTTATTTATATTACAGTTTTAATTATTTGAGATTCGAAATAAAGTCAGGAAAAACATCATTCTGAGACCTTACCATGAACCCCTGATAGTGGTTGAATGGTTGAGCTTGTATGGCTGCCTTCATAACCGAGATTCGACTCCCAGATGGTGATAATTATATGAATACAATATATATGTATTAATATACTTATGTGTGTCTATGTATGTATATAATTATGAAGACTGTGTTGCATTGGGTCAGGGTAGCAGAACGGTGTTGGATGAATAACGTGTTTTGTTTTCCTCTTCCCAGGTGTGATCGGGGATTACCCAGTGAAAGTAAACACACATTTGCGTCTGAAGCCTCCTGTTTTTCTCTCTGTTTTCTCTCGCTTTCTGTCTTTCTCTCCGTCTGTCTGTCTCTCTCTCTCTCTATCTGTCTGTCTTCCTCTCTCTATCTTTCTGTCTGTCTCTCCCTGCTCCTTCTTGCCTCCCCATCTCTCTCTCTCTCTCTCCACACCTAGATGTTGACCTCCCTCACCTCCCCTGACCTCCCGCGACCTCTAACCTTCGATCTCCCGCGACCTTTGACCTCCGCGACCCTGACCTCCCGCGACCCTGACCTCCCGCGACCCCTGACCACCTATGTGACCTCCTAACCTTGGGTCGCTCCTCCTACAGGTGTGTAGAGGACATGATTCTCCAAACCTGCACGGCGCCTACAGAGGAGATGGTCAGGTCAACCCGCCTCCCGAGAGCTGCACACCTGCTACAGCTGCACAGGTGAGGAAGGGGTAACACACATGTCAGTCATTACACATCTACTACTACTACAACAACACACCTTGTCAGACATCACACACCTGCTAGGGAATACACAGTTGCTAGGGATCACACACCTACAACTACACACCTGCCATGGATCACACACCTGCTAGGGAATACATAGTTTCTAGGGATCAGACACCTGCTACAACTACACACCTGCCATGGACCACACACCTGCTAGGGAATACATAGTTTCTAGGGATCACACACCTGCTACAACTACACACCTGCCATGGACCACACACCTGCTAGGGATCAGTCTCCACGCTGTTAGGTCACTCGCTGGCATGTAATCGATGCCTCTGGGTAACATCAATAAACAATTAATCAATCCTCAGGTAACACGCTGAATATGTGTCCTGTGTGACCTGTGTGACCTGTAACCTGTGTCCTCTGTGTGACCTGTTTGACCTGTAACCTGTGTCCTCTGTGTGACCTGTTTGACCTGTAACCTGTGTCCTCTGTGTGACCTATTTTTTTCTGTGACTTGTGACTTCAGAATCAATTTGAGTTCGATTTCAATTTTGGATTCTGGTTCATATTTTGGGTTCGGATTCATAATTTGGGTTCGGGTTCATAATTTGGGTTCTGGTTCATATTTTGGGTTCGGGTTTCGTTTTGGATCCGAAGTACATTTATAACTGTATATTTCTGTTTTCTTCACGCCAGCAGCCGCTACTCAAGCACCGAAGGCCATGATGTCGCTAATGGTGACCTTAATGGCGCTAATGGTGACCGTAATGGCGCTAATGGTGACCGTAATGGCGCTAATGGTGACCGTAATGGCGCTAATGGTGACCGTAATGGCGCTAATGGTGACTCTAATGGTAATGGAGGCGAGGGGAATAATGGGAAGCAGCAGCAGGACGAGAAGAAGAATTGCAACACAACTAAAGGTGAGAAGACATACCTGACGTCTGCTATGATCCCACACACCTGCTAAAAGACCCCCCCACACCTGTTAATGATCCCACACACCTGCTAAAAGACCCCCCACACCTGTTAATGACTCTACACACCTGCTAAAAGACCCCCCACACCTCTTAATGACTCTACACACCTGCTAAAAGACCCCCCACACCTCTTAATGACTCTACACACCTGCTAAAAGACCCCCCACACCTGTCAATGATTCCACACACCTCTTAATGACTCTACACAACTGTTAATGACTCTATACCCCTGTTAAAAGACCCCACACACCTCTTAATGACTGTACACACCTGCTAAAGACCCCCACACCTGTTAAAGATCCCACACACACCTGTTAATGACTCTACACACATGTTAAAAGACCCCCCACACACCTGTTAATGACTCTATACACATGTTAAAAGACCCCCCACACCTGTTAATGATCCCACACACCTGTTAATGACCCCCACACCTGTTAATCACCCCACATACACCTGTTCTCTCTCTCTCTCATCCTTGGTCCTCCTCCCACCACTCTCTCATCCTTGGTCCGCCTACCCTTAGTTTTACCCATTAATATCTCTATCAGTCAATCTTTATATCTCTCTCGCACTCTCTATTTGTCCATTTCTCTATCAATATTTATCTCTCATTCTCTATCTATTTATATTTATCTCTCACTCTATCAATATTTCTCTCTCTTTCTCCCATCTCCCAACAGGTCGTCACAGCAGGGTGGCAGACAGTGATGGTAACAGTCGTCACAGCAGGGTGGCAGACAGTGACAGTGATGGTAACAACGGTGAAGACTTGAACCTGGACAGTGACTTCCTCGATAACTTCCACTGTACTAACTTTGGCATCGTGGACTGCCTTAATACCATCATTAAGGTAAGGTAAAGGAAAGCTATTGAGGTAAGGAGGAGTTAGTGGAAGGGAGAGTTAGTGTGAGGGAAGGGAGAGTTAGTGTGAGGGAAGGGAGAGTTAGTGTGAGGGAAGGGAGAGTTAGTGTAAGGGAAGGGAGAATTTACCTTGTCTCTGATAGTGAAAAATTTGTCGCTTGGCAGAAGTTAAAACTACAGGAAAATATGTTATTAACTCTGGTAGCTGAAGGATCTCAAAGGGACAATAATGACAGTGGTTTATTTACAGTAATATTTATTGTGGTTTAAGTTTCAGGACTCAGAGCAGGATGACACAGAGAGCTACTGCAGTGACTACGGGAATGGTTTGACCACCACTCCACCAGGTAGACTATCTGATACCGACTCCACCTTTGAGATCGTCGCTGTGTCCTCAAATCTCCCGCTGAAGAACTTTCTGCCGCCAAGAACGTCTTTTTCCGGGAAGAAAAAACCGGATTTCCGTACTTTACGCTGGAGGAGCTGTCAGGATCTATTACGGCGAGACTTGGGGCAGAACCTCCTGAGGCGGCAGACGTCCGAGCAGTCCCTGAAGTGTGTGGTGGAGGAGCGGGTGTTGCCTGCCACGGAGGTAGAGGTGTACGATGGCAACCTGGGTCTGTCGCTGATCACTCTCTCCAGATACAGACATGACCGTAACTCACCTTCCTCCCTGAAGCAACACGGCCAAGGCACCGAGCAGTCGTCCAGGAGCCACAACACAGAACATAAAAGTAAACACAGACCAAAGAAAGGGTCTATGAGACACCTGGTCCACGAGGAGTCTTGGGAGAGTCTGGACTACGGCTGTCATGACTCACTGACGGTGGAGCCATCATCGGACTCTGACTACGGTGAGCCCATGGAGGTGGACGACTGTGTGTTGTCAGAACAAGATCTGCCGTTACACCAGGAGACTCATACAGACCAGGAGACTCATACAGACCAGGAGACTCATACAGACCAGGAGACTCATACAGACCAGGAGACTCATGCAGACCAGGAGACTCATACAGACCAGGAGACTCATGCAGACCAGGAGACTCATACAGACCAGGAGACTCATGCAGACCAGGAGACATGTCCTTACCATCAACAGCGGGAGTCAAACAGGACCAGTGGAAGGTGTGGCGGTGATGACGACAACAGCTTCCAGGCGACAGAACACATCAACAAGAACATCTCTGGCAGTAAACATTCTTATAAAGGTATAAACATTAACACTGTATTCTCCTCATCTCATCCACAATCTGATGTTTACCAATAACAACAAAACTCTTTACTTTCATTAAGAACAGGAATATCTTAATGTTATCATGAGACAAAGTTCTTCATTAATCACATCTTAATAAAATTATCCATAAACAATATAACTTATGAATCTTTTAAGACTCTAATATCATATAATGTCGCTCAAAAGACTCAAGACTCCTCCCCAAGATGATGAAGAAGGCTCATATGGTGGACTCTGAGCTGGACCACATGTTGGGTATACAGGAGGACGATGGCAGCGGTCCTGGGCTGAGTGAGGACGAGCAGCCACCGGTACAGGATGTAACCCTTGTTGGTGAGAGAGCACTGCATTTTTTAAAAGTCTAATTAGCAGCAGAGTGTCCTGGTGCTGTATATATCTGTATTATTATTTAGAAGTTTAACATTATTCTGCAGAAGAACGACGGCCATCATCACGTGGGGTGGGCGTGGTCAGCCCCCACAAGCTTCTCTGGTATCTACAGAAGGAGTCAAGACGTCAGAGCAATGAGTCATCTGTCCGCCGACTCCACCCACAACTGTCAGAGGCCGGCAAGACAGTGAGCAAGGCGGTCCTGATCGCTCCACCGGACTTCTACCTCCGCAACTCCACCCAGGAAAGGTCTCTACGTCAGGTGAATTTATCCGACGCTTCCCAGCCGTCCAGCGCTCGCGGTCACCCGTCTCGCGTGTACTCGGAGACGTCACAGGGAGACACCAGCGGGGAGGACAGCGACACCGGCGTTGAACTCTCGGATCTGGAGCGCTGCGTCCTCACCCTCACACACCGGAGGAAACAACTGAGGAAACAAGACACCAATGCCTTCCTCATCGCCCCACCCGAGTATAAGATCAATGAAGACGTCTCCACACTCCACGAGGTGTTTCACTGTTGAGACGAACTCGTGACTCCTACAGGATAAAACTCACAAGGACTTCCCTTCATTCCAGTATTTATCACTAACACAGTATAGCCATTTTAGTCAATAACTTTAACCACCATTCTCTTTATTCTTCTCATAGTCTTGTTTGTCTTCCTCTCAAAACTCATAGCTATATATGTTGGTTTCCTCAGGTACACCTCAGCTTATCACTCTCATTACCTGTACTCACATCTGTTCATCACCTCAACAGATTAAAGCTCCCATCACAGTGTATAAATGATCTCGTTCTTATCATTACTTCATGATAGCGAGGACACACACACACACACACACAACAACTGATTCTAGACACACACACAAAAGAACTGATTCTAAACACACACGTAACCTCTTGTGTGTTGAAGGTATTGGATCATCTTGAGGGAGTGAAGAGGCAGCACTGGTGGGGCGTGAGGAGACAGCACTGGGGGACTTCTTGAAATAGATGTCCAATTTAGACTGCACAGTTTGCTTTTTCTTTTCATTATAAATTTCTCTGTAGCAAGCAAGCGCATCTTGGATCGTTCTGTCAACTTTAGCATAACGCTCATAATTTTGATCCATGTCATCAAACATTTGCATTTTTATTAATTGTAGCAAATGCCTCTGCCATTTGTTTCACTGAAAACTTTTTGGGGGGTGCAGGCTCTTCTTCCTCTGCAATTTTCTGTGCATCTAGTTCAATAAGATCCTCGTTACTGAGCTCTTCTGCTACACTTTCAACCAACTGTCCAACATCTTCAGTATCAATTTCTAACTGAAGCTGTTTACCTAACTCCACTATCTTGTTACTAATATCCAAAATAACTTCATTTTCATTAAATCCTTTGAAACTGTTCACATATCTTTTCAGGATTTTCTTCCATATTCCATTCATGCAATGTTTTGTAACCTGATCCCATGCTGCACTAATGTTCTTTATACATGACAAAACGTTGTACTCCTTCCAAAACTCTCTGAGCTTTGTCTCACCTTCAGTAGCAGCAACAGCCTTAGCGAAGGTCGGACGTAAATAATACGCTTTAAAGGCAGCAATAGCACCTTGATCCATGGGTTGGATGACAGAGGTAGTGTTAGGTGGAATGTAGACTACCTTAACATCAGGGTGCATGTCGTCCAGGTGTGGTGGGTGTCCCGGAGCATTATCCAAAATCAGCAAAATCTTGAATGGAATCCGTTGTTGCAGACAATACTCCTTGGCTCGTGGAATGAAACAAGTCATGAACCAATCCTCAAACAGTGCTAAGGTCATCCAGGCTTTCTTATTACTGCGATAAAACACTGGCAGTGTGTGCTTGCTGACATGTTTAAAAGCCCTGGGGTTCTCTGAATGATAGATCATGAAGGGCTTTAGCTTGAAACCAGCAACATTCCCCCCAACAGAAGTGTAATTCTGTCCTTGAATGCCTTGAATCCGGGCATTGTTTTCGCCTCTTTGTGGATGTATGTCCGCTCAGGCATGCGCTTCCACAATAATCCAGTCTCATCCACATTGAATATTTGCTCAGGCAAATAATTCCCTTCCACAATCACATCATCTAACTCCTCCTTAAAAGCTTCGGCAGCACCAACATCGGCACTAGCTGCCTCTCCACTCACCTTAACATTGTGTAGACTGTAGCGTTTTTTAAATCTATCAAACCACCCATGACTTCCTGTAAAGGTTTGATCACATTCATCTCCTGCCTGCTCCTTCAGGCTTTGGAACAGGCTTCTTGCTTTAGCCTGTATGGTTAGAAGGCTTAAGGGTACACGCTTCTGTATCTGGTCTTCTATCCATATCACCAATAATTTTTCCATATCGTGAATAGGACCTTGTCTTTTCTTTGATATTATAGTTCCCTTTATAGGTGTTGTTCCTTTCACTACATCACGAATACGTTCCTTGTCCTTCAGAATAGTGGATATAGTCGAGTGTGAGAAACCTAGGTCGTGTGAGATTGTTGCTACTGTTTTTCCATTCCCATGCTGTGTTATTATCTTCATTTTCATCTCAAAAGTAATTGCCTGTCTCCTTTTCTTTGGAACACCACCAGCACTCTCACTTTTATGCTTTCCAGTCATTATAAAGTCAATTAAATACGATAATAACGAAAGTTCACAGCACGATCAGTATAAGATACGATAGCCAAACACCAACTAAGCGCTCCACTGAGTGAGTGTACCCATGAGGCGACCCGAGACGCCCATGACTGTGTGTGTGTGTGTGTGTATATATATATATATATATATATATATATATATATATATATATATATATATATATATATATATATATATATATATATATATATATATATATATATATATATATATATTTTATGACGTTAATATATTTTCTTCATTTTATTTCGAAATATTTGACCAACTTCCGTGTGATTTGTACGTTTAGTGGAGTCATATACTTACCATTATCCAGTTTCCACGGTATTTCATTATTGTTTTTAACGTTAGTTTAGTCCAAAGTGTAAGTAGTTCAGCTCAAGTCGTTTAACCAAGATTCCCAAATTAAACTTAAACTGTAATGAAAAGTTTAAATGGGGAAATGTGGATCGTGAAAGTTAGCACAGGAAGTGATGACGTCACTATGACCTTGGTGCTACCCACGACTACCCAGTACCCACCCACCACCGGGCCCAGTCCCCAGGCCCAAGCACGGTCAACACCTCACTGCCGGATGAAGCAACTTCTTGAAGACGTCACCAACAGGTTCTGGGTTTAGACTCATTCTTCTTACCTGAAGATTAGCCCTCAGCTTATGTCACCTTAAGGAGGTATAAGTATTGAACGCTGTAACTGATAACTGAAGATACATTTTTGCTGCTCATAAAGTACGACCTATTGGTCAGTTCCATTATGTGTAAGTGTTAGCCATTGTATGAGGGCTTGAGCTGCCACCATTTATGAGGGCTGCTCCTGCCACCCTTCATGAGGGCCTGTGTACCAGTAACACTTCCTTTTACTCTTATATATCACCATTGGTAGCGTGACGATAGGAGGCTCGTGGGTAGGTGTAATGATAGTATCCAGCAATAGGGAAGAAATAACGGTAAATACTGTAGGTAAATAATATACACAATTATACAAATACAAAGTTTATTTAAACATGAATATGAAATTAGAAGAAAGAATTGGTTTGTACTAACAGACGAAATCTATTACTAGGCCCTCAGGCTCAACATACTCACACCATTACTGGGTGGACATATTCAATACCCTTCCAACCCTACTGGGTGGACATACTCAATAGCACAACTAGGATAGTCACTTAGCACCATACATACTAGGGCAACTGCCACTACAACACTCAGTCGTCAGGAGTGATACTCAAGCAACAGCCATGGGGTCCAGCCACCATGGAGTACTATCCGACGAACTCTGGAGATCCCAGTGGGTTAATTCCACCACACAAATATAGCCCTACTGAGGTAGACATTCATCCACCAATGATGGGGGCTGGTAGTGGTGTGTGGCTTGGTGGTCCCGGGTCACCTCGTGGACCGAGCGTTAGGGCCAGACGAGCCAGCTATGGGGGCTATAGGTGGTCTGAAGTGTCTGACGGCCGGGTCTCACGAAGGTAACTGATCCTACTGGACCTCGGACATGTCCCCAGACATAGTGGATACAACATCCACCCTACAGACACGGCCTAGGCTGCGTTAGGGACCTGTATGGATGAAGGGACGGGCACTTACTAACGGTGACAACAACATCACGTTTCAGGGTACGTTAAAGACGTAAATATGACTTTACTCAGAGCATATCAACTACGTTACTGTAACACTTGCACAATCAACTATTAATTGAGTCAAATCACTTAAAGAAGGGCAAATTACAACACAGCGTGGAATGGCATACCTGTATGGATGAAGGGACGGGCACTTACTAACGGTTAAAATGCCCGCGGCGCCCTCACTCAAACCAGACCAGGGAGTCCAGCTACTCCTATTCCAATGAATTAATTTACGGTACCCTCTGACGTTGAAATTGAGACTATGAACTCATTTTCATTCTCTACTATTATCTTCACTAACAATGCTCTGACTCAGCTATCGAAAGCAGAATTAAATTGATCACAAGGGAATGGATGGCAACAGGTCCCAGCATACAGCGTCTGCTCCCATAGACAAAGGCGGGGGAAACAGAGAAAACGGGGGACGTTTCCACTGGGGGACTCGGAAGGTTTTGTGGACGTTTGAGCGTAATATGAATCCTTAAGGTTTTCAGGTTAGCTCTTATCATGACCATTACAATAGGAAACAAGAAAACACATACAGTACATATATACACACATACATATAGACCCACACACCACACAAACACATTTACATATACTAGTACATATACAGTATACACACAGCATCGTCCACCTCCGTATATAAACAAGTATACAGTGTAGTCTAAGAGCGACACAAGAAGCAAGAGTAAGTATAGTTTGGGAAGTGAAGCAACTATTGTATTATTACCAAAGGGAACTAAGGTAACTTGAAGATTGTATGTAAAGCGAATTACTTAAGTCTGTTCGTCACTCCCTCTGAACCATGAACCCAGAGATTAAAGATTCATGAACCCAAAGCAGTAAAGTGATACATTATTCACTCTATAAATGCTTCGTATTCATGAATCTGAATCCCGGGGTTCGTGGTTCACTGTACTACTGGTATTGTTGATTACCATATACCCTATTCGTATATTCTTTTTCAGCCAATCAGCTTGTAGTATTTGGGTTTCCGTGTACAGGTATATCGTTACTTCTGGGCATCGATCATCTCTCTCCCATCATGTTCTTTCCTCACACCATGATACCTGTATTGCTTTTAACACACTGGCCATCAGAAGGATTAGAATACAACAATATGAAATACAAACACCTTTATTGGGTGTCCAGTAAACAAAAGAGCATCTGAATATCATGGCCAGTTACTCCAAGAGAATTCTCTAACTGTCTTGGCATTTATAGTGTCTTAAGGTGTCTTGGTAATTCTCATATGATGAACTTGAGTATAAATTGCCATAAAACATTAATAATAATAATAATACAGGTAATAAAAATAATAATAGATGTAATAATAATAAACAATAATAATAATAATGATGATGGTAATATTTCACCACTGTTGCCAACTCCTCCTTGCTATGGCTCTAGGCAACTGATATCACAAGTACCAACACAGGACAAACTCTCTCTCATTCCCTCTCACCCAAGCAACTAAATACATAACAAAAATACAACTAAATACAGCCAAAAAATACAATAACTTGTCAATTCATTAAAGTATACACAGAACAAATGTATCATAAACCAAAAAGAAGAAAATTATTGTCAAGTATAAGTTTGTATTGTAAACACATTCTTGGATATACATCAATTTGTCCATTACGTTTAAATCTGAGGAAGTGTATGTATGTATGTCTCAGTCACATCTTGTATCTGTAAAAGAGATGTACAGTGACCCCTCCGTTAACGAACTCAATCCGTTCCAGAAGGTCGTTCGTTAACCGAAACCATTGTTTCAATGGGTTTTTGGGTAATTGGTTCCAGCTCACCGAAAATTTCCTTGATTCAACAAAAATGGTAGAAAAGTTCACTTACTTTGAGGTGTGTATGTAGAAGGCTCCTGGATGATGATGATGATGATGATGGGATTTAGAATGGGGGTGGAGAAGGAAGAAGAGAAGGCATTGGGGTGGAAGAGAAGTCACCCCATGGTGCCATTTCACCCATAAAATTTTAGCTCTCTGGTGTAATTCAAGATTATTTTCTTTAAATCAACACTGCACTGCATTATATATTGTCAATATGTAAAATATATTTCAAAATGACCAATAATTTGCTTGGAAACACAGAAAAAAAGCATTTAGTTGAAGAGAGTCTCAAGCAAGATGTTACCTCCAGTGAAAACAGAGAGAGACTAACTCCTGTTTGCTGTGTTAAGAGGCTGGATGCCGCGCATTAAACTAGTCACTTTACCTTCAATTATGTTCAATAATTGTTAAAATGACTAAAAAATTGAATATTAAACTTTTAAAATTATTGAATAGTATAAACTTCTTGATATTTACTAAAATAGTAAGGAATTTAAGCCCTAGAACCGATTAATGTATTGGCGGACTGATACTAAAGCTGGTTGCCCGGTCAGTGCAAGCGAAAACATGTTGAGGTCGGTTCGTAAGAACTTCGTTAACCGAATTTTTTTTCGATAACCGAATTGAAGATCCTTATGGAAGGAAGTTCGTTAATCGAAATTACGTTAACCGAGGTGTTCGTTAAACGAGGGGTCACTGTATATGACATTTATTATACTGTGTACTAAAAAAATATATACGTAAACTTATCGCCTCTGGATATATACAATACGGTATACAGCTAAATCGTCAACACCATAAACTGATCAGTCATCGTCAAACTCTTCTATGAGAAAGTCTTCCTCGGGGTCCTCCTCATTGGTCAATTCCTCGGTCCGTGAAGAAGAAGGAGGAAGTCGTCTGGTAGTGACTGTGTCCATGGTTATGTCGTGCTCTGTGATGTAGGTGTCGGCGTCGCACATGTCCAGCTGTTCACTGTTGTTGTTCGAGAGGATGCTTGAGAACAGACCCATCTCCTTTGTCCGGGAGAAATGACCTGCAAAGTGGTAAAAAAACAAGAGATTTACAGTAACATCTCTATTTAATGGACTATATATGGAGAGGAATTTATGTTATATTGATAGTCTGTTATATGTGAAACCTCCATCTAATGAATTATGTAGAGATGACTGTCCGTTGTATTGGGGGTCTGTTAGATGTGAAATCCCAATGTAACGGATTATATGGAGAGAGAAGTTCATTATATGGAGGTTTCACTGTATGGATATATACTGAATTGTTTATTTATAAAGTCATGAACACAAGTCTTGTCACCTCTTCTGCTGATACTCCAAGAATTTCGAGATCCAGACTTGTGAACCCGAGGCAGTCAACATTATTCTGGCCATAAATGTTTTGGGTTCGTGAGCATGAATCTCAGAGTTTGTGGAGCAGAAGAGACAAAAGGACTTCAGTTATTCATAGTTGTACTTAGTGAAGATAAAACACTGAATACATACATACAAAACCAGACATATACACACACACAGATTTAAACAAATATACTTGCATATACTATATACAGTGGTCCCTCGGTTAACGAGCACAATTCGTTCCAGCAGGTTGATCGTTAACCGAAGAACTCGTTAACCGAAACCATTGTTTCAATGGGTTTTTGGGTAATTGGTTTCAGCTCACCGAAAATTGCCTAAATTCAACAAAAAAGGTAGAAAAGTACACTTACTTTGAGGTGTGTATGTAGAAGGCTCCTGGATGATGATGATGGGAATTAGAATGGGGGTGGAGGAGAAGGGAGAAGAGAAGGCATTGGGGTGGAAGAGAAGTCACCCCATGGCACCATTTTACCCATAAAATTCTAGTTCTCTTGGTGTAATTCAAGATTATTTTCTTTAAATCAACACTGCACTGCATTATATAATTGTCAATATGTAAAATAAATTTCAAAATTACCAATAATTTGCTTGGAAAAACAGAAAAAAAGCATTTAGTTGAAGAGAGTCTCAAGCAAGATGTTACCTCCACTGAAAACAGAGAGAGACTAACGCCTGTCTGGTGTGTTAACAGGCTGGATGGCACGCCAGAAACTAGTTTCTTTACCTTCAATTATATTCATAAATTGTTAAAATGACTAAAAAAGTTAATATTAAACTTTTAAAATTATTGAATAGTATAAACTTCTTGATATTTACTAAAATAGTAAGGAATTTAAGCCCTAAAACCCATTACTGTATTGGCGGACTAATACTACAGCTGGTGGACCGCCAAATGCAAGCGAAAACATGTTGAAGTCGGCTCGTAAAAAACTCGTTAATCGAGGGATTGCTCGTTAACCGAAGTTAAGAATCTTATGGAAGGTAAATCGTTAACCGAGGCGCTCGTTAACCGAGGGACCACTATACAGTAAACCCTCGATAAATCACAATTTGATAACTTCTAATTCAATATAACTCTGAATGGCAGTAAAACATTCAAAAGTAAATTATTTTTTATTATTATTTTTACATAAGTCGCAATATTCTGAGATACGATGATGCACTCTCAGAATGGTTTAACACGTAGAAGGCTCTGCCCAGGTCAGCCACTCAGTTATGCATCAGTGGGCCGAGAAAGAGGATTCTCACCCACAGTTGCTCTATTTATTTTCACGTATGTTGTGCAAAGTGCTGGTCCACCACTATTGAAAACCTTAACTAGTATACATGTACAGTACAATAAGTGAATAATAACAAACATTTAAGGTTGGTACTGTAGTGTGCAGCGAGCCTCCCGATCACCCCCTCTTGACACAATCCACCTGGCACCACAAGTTTGAATTATCCACATCCTTTGCCTTGCAGCGCTGGTAAGTGTTAATTTTTGTGCAAGTTTCCTGATGATGGAAGGTTATTTTGGCCCAAAAGTTGGGTGTTGGGGTGGAACGAAAGTGCCTTGATATCTAGGAATGGTTAGAGCTCCATATACTGTATACCGAGTTATTAAGAGTTTCCTGTACGGTTATTGTGAAGCAGTATATCGGATATAAACATTATGTACAGTATACCTTTCCCTTGAGCATCCATAATCTTGGCCTTGAGCGGCACCACAGTAGTTGCTAGTTCCTCCGAGGTCAGTGAAGCCATACGGTATTCGTCCCTCAGGGCCGACGCACTCTGTTGTCCTTCCCTGAACACGCTGTACCACTGAGGCTTCGTAAACGATCGCCAGCCCCCGCCTGAACTGCCACCTCTGTTAGCGTGCATCAGACCTCTCACCGTCACTGAGGCCGAGTAGTCCTCCAGCACCTCCCGATCCTTTAAAGAAAATCAAAATTAGCAAAACCATCGTCAGTCTCAACAATGCAGTGGAACACGAGTGATGCAATTTTAATATTCAACTGAGACAATTACTGTATGATTAAATATGAAGGATGTTATTATGTTTGGCAATAAACTTTTCTGGGATCACCTGAAGCATCTCCACCCCAGCTTATTTCACCTAAGATTAACCACTCTAATGCTATTTGGGGGAATGAGCTTAGATTAGATTACTGTTAGGTTAGGTGAGGTTAGTGTTAGGTTAGGTTGGGTTAGGTTAGAATTAGGGTGGTAAATCTGTAGGTGATCTAAGCTAGGGTGGAAAGTGTTCAGCAGATGACCCCTCTTGTGTCGTGGAGCAACAAACCGTCCACTCAGCAGCCAGTACATCGGAGTCAGCTAAGTGTTGCATGACTTGACTGACACTCTCTATGTCTGGGAAGAAATTGAGGCAATTGTGATGCAGGAACATACTAAAACTGGTCGCTCCCATGGACGTGTTGTCATAGATGCTCTCCGGGTTCTCTAAGAGCGGTGTTCTCTCCTGGGGCTGAAGATGTTTTGGTAAGGGCTCAGTAACACCTTCGTCCTGTTTACCTGAGGAGACACACTAAATATAGTTTATTCTTCTTTCAATCTTGCTAAACCTTACAAATTATGGTGCTACATGTTAACCATCACACACACACACACACCTGTCCACTCTCACCTACTGTTAATCAACTACCCACTATGAGACAGGTCAACACACACACACACACACACTCTCTTCTAACATCAACCGGATCTCTCTTGATGTCAACCAAGAGTATGAATAGGACAAGGTGGCTTGGGAGATGTTTCTTTAATACTGTATATACCTTTATTATCTTCAAACTTTCCTCTGAACATTAACAGGATATTTTGTTATTTCCTTTTTTTACTTTTCCTGTCTCTTGACTTCTCATCTACAGCACCTTATATACTGTAGATATTTTGTGTATAAAATTACATCGCTGAATTGTACAAAGATATAAATCTCTTACGTTTACAATAGAGAACTTTTCCCAGCGCTCTGAAGAGGAATAGCGAGGCGTCTTTCCCTCCTACGGCAGCGAAGCCGTCGAGGTCGCTCTCTTGAGTTTTGGTTGATGAGTTCTTCTTCAGGTGAGATTTGGTCTGTGATTTTGTTCTGGTCAGCGTCCGACCTTTGCCTGACGTCCCGGTGAACAGACCCTCAAGTTGGTTTATGTCTGTTGGAGGTGTTATGGAAAGATTAGTTCACATACAGTATCTGATTCTCAAGTACTACTCTAATATTTTTTAACTGTACTGTATCCCTCTATCCCCTCTCTATCCTCCCCTTTTTTCTCTATCCTCTTTCCTTCTCCCTCTATCCACTCTTCTCTCTATCCTTTCTCCTCTCTCTCCACCCCTTTACCTGCACCCTTAAGACAATTTTAATCAGTGGTAACAAACCTTTTTTACACGCAAACTGTAGAGCGTTGATGGCACTTCTGATGTCACCTCCCGAAGTTTCAGCCAACATCTGTAGCGCCTCTTTGGTGGGGAGAGACTGTCCTCTCCCCCGGGCACACAAACTCTCCATCTGGACCACCCGACTCATAGCCTTCACCAACAACCCACTTGCTATGGGGTTGAACCTAAAAAGAGAAATTCGGTCTTAAATACATCGTCATACCAGGCCACGTTGATAATATTCCTATATTTGTGTTTAATATTTCACAACTACCACTTTCCTTGTGTGTTAGTAATGATTAAACCAATGGAAAGTCTGTCTAGGAGGAAATATGAATTATAGTGTGTTGACCGGAAAGCCAACTCAAGGTACAAGCTACAGTGTGACTTGACTGAGTCTCACTGTCAATAGACCTTCGAGGAGGACCTAAAACGATTCCTTACCTCTTAAAAGAAAATAAAAGGCTGACATTATTAACAATAGTGATGATGTATATATGACAATAGCTCTCTGTCTGTACTGTGTGTGCATATGTGACTGAAGGTAAGAACTACCACCAACAAACAGTCATCACCTACACAATATTAATGATGCCAAGTTCTTGCTGGAGGTCTGGTGGGAAGAGATGTTTGGCGCTGCTCTGGTGGTTGGTGGAGTCACTCATGATGAAGAAGACGGGGCTGGTGATGCCTCTCTCATTATACCGTCTGGGGAGGGAGGGAGGGAGAGACACACCGCAACTTACTAAACCACAATCTTTATACGTACTGGTTACATTGTCTCCTCTCTCTAGCTATGAACTTATCCAGTGGTTATAAAAATGATGTACTATTTCTAAAACTGCAAAAAAGAAAAGAAGGGAAATTGGAATTTCTTTAGATAGATTAATATGAGTATAAAGATCAAGGTAAAATATCTGGATTAACTTACAGAAGAAAGTACCGCTGCTGAATACTCAAACAAGTACAGCCAGAATTATTTGCTTCTTTACAGTGGTGTCGGCCTCCTATCTATGATCTTGGTACTTTTATTTTCAACAATTTGTCAATGGTGAAATAAGACAACAAAACAGACCAACTAAGACCCAAAACTACCTCTACTAATACACAGAAAAATGACAGCTAATACAAACCTCAATAAAGCGTGGAATGTGGATGGGTCCCTGTAGAAGGCATTAGGGAAGTCCTCCACACACACCACGTTGTCCTGTTTTCCCGTCCCACAAACGCTTCGGTATTTACTCGTACGGATAAAAAAATCCCAGAACTGTGATGTCTGACTGGCCGGCCTCACTGTGTCTCCGGGGATCCAAATGTTTTCTACAAGTAAGAAAATCAGATGATTATGTATTATATTATTTTAAAGCAGAATTAGAATAAAAAAATGTCATACAGCAAACATATCAACAGCCTGATTTAGCATTTATAACCAATACCAAAGAGGAAATGAAGAAATCAATGTACTGAAGTTGTTTTATCTAATGTTAAAAGGGTGTACAGTACAGGACATTTTGCCTTGAGTGATGGCTACACTTGGTCAGGTTAGGATGACATCAAATAGTGTTATATCATCCCATCAACTGACCCTGCTCCATGAATGATGAGTTATAAGGTGTAGTGGTCGGGTTGGTCCACTCCAGTAGGTTGAGTCCAGCCTCCTTGACCAACACCCTCACTGTGGCAGTCTTTCCACACCCGGCTGGTCCCGTCAGCAACACAAACTTCCTCCCCTGAAGGTAACAGTGACAAGTGGAATGATAATAATACAGTAAAACCTTTATTTAATGCACTACTGTATGTGGAGAGGAAAGTCCGTTATATCAAGGGTTTATTAGTCTGTGAAACTTCCATTTAATGGATTATATGGAAGGTGAAGTCCATTACATGGATTTTTCACTGCACTAACAATGCAGCGAGTCGTCACATTTTGTCGGAGATCCATTCTTGAGGACGACGATGAACTACGAGACGACCAACAACCGGATCAATTACCTCACTGACTTACACGTACAGTATTACTGCACAGGGAAGACGTGTCCCAACCAGGAACATAAACTGCTGTAGTTGACATAATTCGACTCACTATGAGGTCACAATAACAAAATGGAGAGCAATTGAATGTAAATAAAAATGTTTACCCAAGATGAGGCACAACAAAATGTCCCACACGGTTATTTGAAAGAATTTGTTTAATGTTTTGTAATGACAATCTTTACTATTTAAATGTATAAATATCTATAAATATTCTAAATGGTACATAATTTCAATATAAGAGTACAGTCTGTAATCAAATTCAGTAGAATATTATGTAACAAAAATGTAAATTTGAGTGACCAGAATTTTCCTAACAGTTGGACAAACCTGAAAGGGATTACATTTATTCTATTGATTAATTAACTTTTTAAGAGACAAATTAAGGAAAAGACAAATAATGGAGCCTTGAACTACGAGGACTGTCTGTAATAACAATAACATACAATAATAATTAACAATATCTATTCAGTGATATCATACAAGTATACAATTGATTTGGCATGTATAGTCTGTACAAAAATGCATGTATATAGTTCAGCATGTACTATATATAGACAATACAGGTACAGTATATAATTAAATATGTGTATAGCCAAGCCAAGTCAACCCACCCCAACACACCTTCATGCCAGATAAACTCTCCATCAGCCAATAGTCCACCACCTGCACCTTCTTCTTGTGGATAGCCAGGTCGTCTCGGGTCAAGGGGGAGTACAGGTCATTCCACAGCGCCGATCCTCCCTGGGAGGCGGAGAAATAGCACATTATCTCGTCGTTAATCACACAGGAACGAGGTGGTTATAACTGCATCTTGTCTTGTAGTCGTTACTTAAAATATATGCCGAGTCATTATTTTTTCCTTGTATAATTTAGATAGACAGACAGTAAATAGACAAGTAATATTCCAGAGCCTGTTACTGTATAGAGGCTTCACTGTCAAGAAGACAGATAGACAGATGTCGACAGAAGATAGATGGAGAGTTAGAAAGATACAGATAATTCCATGCAGCTGTCATTCACACAATACAGCTCTCTAGAAGTTGTTCACCTGCTGTATTTTCTTCCCAGGCTGAGGGAACAGGTCCTCCTCTCTGCCTCGTTTCCGTGCCGGAGGAGACGAGCTCAGGCCAAAGTCATCGAAGGCGGAGGTCACCCACGATGACCCCTGGAAGTTACGTGAACACAGAGAATTAGAATTAGATCGGAGTTACGGAAATACTGAAAGAATTAGACCCAAGTTATGAAACAGACCACAGAATTTGCATTAAGTACTTATTAATTATTATAATGATATAAAACCAAACTATAAATAAAAACGGAAAAAATTTAAAAGAAACACGATAATTATTTTCTATTTGTTTGTACCTTTATGCCGCTGTTTTTCAGAGACATAATGCTTGGAGGACGTCTGCCGCTATCAGTCCATCTCTCGAAAGTCTGGAAAAAGAGTTGATGAGGTTGAATGCAGTACAGTACAGTTTCTACCTAACCTATCTAACAACCTAACCTAACCACACCTAATCTAACCTACCTAACCAAACTAACATCCACACTAATTTAACCTAACCTATCTAACAACCTAACTTAACCACACCTAATCTAACCTAACCTAACCAAACTAACCTAACATCCACACTAATTTAACCTAACCTAATGCTAATCTAACCTATCTAACAACCTAACCTAACCACACCTAATCTAACCTACCTAACCACACCTAATCTAACCTACCTAACCAAACATCAGCACTAATCTAATCTAACCTAACCTAACCTAATGTTAATCTAACCTAACTATATAATTTTTAGAATAGTCTTAGTTACGTTAGGTTAGTTTAAGTTTGGTTAGTGTTAGATTAGGTTAGGTTAGGTTAGGTTAGGTTAGGTTAATTTGATTAGGCTAGACTAGAACTTTCAAGTGTTATAAGTAAGTCAGTAACACAAGTACCTTAAGTACATATTATAAGTAAGTATTCTAAGGACGTTAATAACACAACTATGAACTATAAGTACACTAAGCAACCAAAGATATAATTATCCTATTTATTTCATTAATTAATAACCTCTTGACCTTATAGTACAGTTATTAATAATGTCTTACTAAATATGTCTATTTTTATCTCCATGGCAAAGGTATTTAAGGGTATTTTAATAACCTAATTGGGTGGTTTAACTCTACCTCCTTGATGTACCCAGGTGAGTCTGTTTACCTTCTGATGTTATCTATAATACCGCGAACATAATAAATTTGAGGTAATTAATGTTTTAGGTAATATAAATTAACTAAAACTAATATAAATTAAAGAAGTTGTATTTAAATAATTATTAGATTAGGTTAAGTAAGGTTAAGTTATCTAATTTTGATAAAAAGGTTAATCATTTCGTATTATTGTTTGTGGTAATATATTAACACTAATTAACACACCTTTTGAGTAATGGTTGGGATTATTTCTCTTAAAGTTGTATTTTCTTTTAAGAGCGATAGTTGTGAGTTGTTGTAATAACCTAACAACTTAATACCCTAATCTAACCTAACCAAAACCTAACCCACATACATAACTAATACAAATTGATACAGCTAATTAATTTCTGGTTGGTAAGTGAATATCCTGTATACTTTGCCTAATTAAGTTAGTAGTTAATGTAGGTATTTGGAGGTAAACATAACGATCATTACATTACCCAACACCTAGTTACTAAGCTCCGCCCACCAGTGACGTCATATTCAATGCTTCACGAAACACCAAGGATTCGAATCACTTCATGAACGAAGCTCCGAGTCACGAGTCATGGAGCTGTGAAGCTAATTTGGCATAGTCCTTATCTATGTAAACCAACACGTATATATTTGTCTTAGTAAACACAACTCAGTGTTATTGTCTTGTTAGTGATCCACAAGTTGTAATATTTCTTCCCTGACGTAAATGATTGTCTTATATGAATGATGTTTCAGATGGAGATGCTTCAGTTTATTGTGAGTGAGTGAGAGATACCTCGAAGCTTCAGTAAACTTGAGGGCAGAGGAGGTCGGTGTGGTCACTCTGGCTCACAACCCATCTGTCCTGAACGACCAAGGACGCGTCGCTCCCGGGGCCGACTGACTGTCTGTAGTAGCTAAGTACACGTGATTGTGGTGGTGCTGAAGTGACTGTGGTAATACTGGAGTGATTGTGGTTGATCATTAATAAATCTAGTATCAATGTCAGAGAAACATGACCAAAATACCCAACTTCTCCATAACCGTAAAAATACTCCAGTTGTGAATCCCCTTCTGGCTAACTCGGTGGATGAGGTCACTCACTTGTTTCTAGGTGGGGCAGCCAATGCATGTCAAGTAGGGTTGGTGTCCCACTCCACTTGTGTCCCACTCCACCTGTGTCCCACTCCACCTGTGTCCCACTGCACGTTTGCCCCCTTGAAAATTCATGTTAAAATCCTTGCTCGGACGGTTGTGTACACCTTTCAGCAGTGGCATGTGTAGGTCTCCGGTACCCGATGTGGATGACCTGTACCTGTTAAGACTCGGGGCCCAATTTTTGCTGGCGAGTCATCTAGGAATATCCACAAGTTTGTATATTGAAATCCTTGTGAATGTACATAGAAATAGGTAATTTGTATAGGCAGGGCCGGGTTAAGGTTACTAGGGGCCTGAGGCACAGATCAACTTGGGGCCCCCTACCCTCAAGGTATATATAAATAACAAGAACAAAATATACCCAAATTTATCAATGATTTCATCAATATTAAGCTTCTGCAAAATAACACATTTAATGTTCTTAAGAGACAGAAAATTGAGAGTTTGCTAGGACATCATTGACGAAGTTCATGTTTATACGCTTCAACTTCAAGAATGTTTGGATTTGGGGGCCCCTGAGAGTCGGGGGCCTGAGGCCAGTGCCTCATGGTTAATCCGGCACTGTGTATAGGGATTAAATGGGAGGGTTTGTATATCTGGATTATATCAAGAATTGGCGGATTGATTCGTGGATAAATTGTGTAATAGGAAAAGGGTATAACTTCTGGGTTAACATATTATATTATGTAGCTGTTAGATGGTAAAATTCTAAATATTTAGCCTAAGATAGCCAGGTAATTTGTATAGTTTCGAGACAAGATTGCCCTAAACCCCATGTACGTAATATAAATAGTGTATATATATGCTAAGACTGGTGTATATACTTTCAGCAGTGGCACGGTACCCTCCAGGCCTCGGGGTCGACTCCCGGACGTGTAGAGGAGGAGACGCGGGAGTCTACAGTAGAAGGTTCGTAAGTCAAATTCTTTTATCTTAATTACATCCCAGTTATTTATAGGCGAGGGAGATTACCTGGATAAGAGATAAAAATACATGAAATTGGGGTTAATATTTAGAAGTTGCCAACACATATTGTCTTGTATAGGGGAAAAGAGAAAAACAATTTATTCTATAGTGTTTGTCAAACTTATCAAGAGGTTAAGGTCACAGCTGAAGGTCAATAATCGTGGTATGTTTCACGTGTTTTATGGTAGGTAACCCGTAAATATTATGGAATCATCTTACGGGTTCAAAGTTGGCATGATCCTGGAGGCTTGACATAACACTTCAGTCCAGGAGATCCGAAGGTTCTGTTAGCCTTATCTTACGTTGGCCAAAGAACAAGAACTAGGAATTAATGTTTGAATGTGTAAGTATAATCAGAATAGAGAGTAATTGGTTGTACTGAGTGAAAGGAACTTTGAGGTCTTTGTGAAATAAAAACTGATGAACCAAGTAGTGAACTGGGGACAAGTGAAGGGAGTAAATTCACGATTGTTGGAAGGGTCAGTGTTGAGTGATAAAATATGGAGTTGAAGGGAAGAGTGAGGCTCGGTCCCAAGTCACATAAGAGACTAAATGCAGTAAGTTGATGGACTGTGTGTGTATGCAACAGGGAATGGGGAGATGGAGAGAGAAAGAAAACGATTATGGGAAAACTTGAATAACTGTTTCAGAAGTTTGTGTGAGTGATAGATTTATATGCAAGAATTGAGGAGTTGTTTGAGCTGTAGGGGACGTAAAGCATCTAAGGAACAAGTTGATAGTGGAATATATTGTATACACACCAGAGTAAAAATAGGTACTTGCCAAACACTTCTCAACACTATAAGCTCTATGCAATCTGAAAAATCAACGGAGAATTTGAAACCATTCCAAGATGACAAGACCCATTCTGTTCACTCTTACATCCATCGTGTTCAGGTGTTGGAGAGGTTCTTGCTTAGTGTACAATAAATGAATAAAGGTTTGTTATGATGATGCTGGGCAGAAGACTGAAATGGAAGATGCATGATGCGGATGTTGAGAGAGGAAGTGAACTGTGTGGTCATTATTAGGTAGACGTGAGTGAGTAGATGGATGAGTCGAGGGAAGATGGTTAATAGTATAGGAAGTGAAGCGTGGGTCAACAAGGTGAGGATGAAGAGGAATGGGGTGGTGGTAGAGCACAGTTGAGGGGCAATGAGAGAGAGAGAGGAGACGGAGATAGTTCACTCATCCTTAAACTACTGATGATATTTATGGTGGTAGGGTGTGGAGGATGGGTGTGGAGGGAGGGTGGGTGTGGAGGGAGGGAGGGAGGGAGCATGAGTGTGGAGGAAGTATTAGAAGTGAGAAAGAAGGAATATCAGCAGATAGCATGATGGGTGATGTTGACTTGTGCGAGGCGACAGAAGTAAACTAAATATATGTAGGAATTGTGGAAGATGAGGTATTACTCCAGGACAGATCTAGCTCAGCAGAAAGTGTGATAGGGAGTGGATAGGGAGTGGATAGAGAGTAGGTAGGGAGTGGATAGAGAGTGATTTGAATTCTTACCTGAGCAAACCACTATTTTTTTCCTAATCACTTGTTCATTTAACAGGAAGAAAAATAAAATATCTGGCCAGGGAGGATGAGGACCACAGTTTGGCGTCCAGATGACGAAGCTCCACCAAGAGAGAGAACCAAGAATAGTGAAAAGGTACATCTGCCCACAACATCTGGACCCGTCACTAGGAACTGTTTTGTGTAGTAGTAAGTGTTATGATACGGCCACAGATATACTGAAGCAGATTATAACAGTGTTGACAAGTTTATCTATTGATGAGAGGAGTGAGGGAAGGACTGTGTGTGGTGTAGGAGTGAGGGAAGTGGTGTGTGGTGTAGGAGTGAGGGAAGGACTGTGTGTGGTGTAGGAGTGAGGGAAGGACTGTGTGTGGTGTAGGAGTGAGGGAAGGACTGTGTGTGGTGTAGGGAAGGACTGTGTGTGGTGTAGGAGTGAGGGAAGGACTGTGTGTGGTGTAGGAGTGAAGGAAGGAAGTTAATTTGTGAAGGATTGAACTGAAAATGGAGTCGTGTTATTAACGTTAAGACTTTGTTATAATCTGTTTAGTGTGTGACGTTATCACTAATGTTTGGTGTTATCAACAATGATCATCTTTGTTCAGCTTAACATTATATTTCTGTTGATCTTGTGTGTGAACCATTGTAAAGTGAGTTGCTTTAGTTCCACTTATGGGGTATACTGCTGGTGGTGACGTCACTGCTCCTGTAGTGTGTTCCATCACTGGGGCAGACTGCTGCTGGTGACGTCACTGCTCCTGTAGTGTGTTCCATCACTGGGGCAGACTGCTGGTGACGTCATTGCTGTCTTCTACCAACAAGCGCCCCAGGTGACTTTAGCCTACTTAAAGGACAGAACAAGCAAGTTGTAAATAAGTAATTATAATTGCAATAAGTTCTTAACGATCATTTTGTATTTAATGACGGGAGTAAAATATTTCTGTTATGCAAGTAAAGGGATATACAGGACAGATCAGCGAGGACTTAGTGTTGTACCTTCACTTGTGTTACAAGAGCAGCAAGTCCAGACAAAACACCATCACTTGTCTGTTCAGTATATTCTTAATTTTTGGTAATGAAAATATTTTCTTCCCGCCGTTGTAACGTAATGGTTAAGACCTTATTGTGATAATTACTTTATATCTCCTTACGACTTTGTAAGGTTTATGTTAATCTCTGAGCAACATTTGTATTACTATTTTTGTATGTTAGACTATTTGGTTGTTTTTGTAAAAAATAAAGTTTTCATTGCTATGTAAAGTCTCTTACTTACTTAAATTTTAGGAAAAACCTAAAATGTGTAACCTGGTCACTTTAAACAAGGCAATCGAGATAGGCTATACGAAGTCGATTGTGTTGAAACAAACCAGATGTTACTCGACAGTTCTAAATAGGTGAAACCCTAGCGTACAGAAGGTCTATGAAAACTGGAGGACAAGTTAAACATTTATTATATAGATAAATGCACTTATTACATCAGGTTGTGTTCACTTGTTGCTTGGAGAGAGATCAGGTCACTGCTGTAGGTCGCTCCATATGTTGCTTGTGGTCGGGTCACTGTTGTGGGTCGCTCCATATGTTGCTTGTGGTCGGGTCACTGCTGTGGGTCGCTCCATATGTTGCTTGTGGTCGGGTCACTGCTGTGGGTCGCTCCATATGTTCAGGTCGGATCACCCATGTTTGGAAACCTGGTCACCGCTGTGGATCACCCCACATGCTTGTAGAGGTAAGGTCACTCCATGTTGGCCGTAGAGGTAAGGTCACTCCATGTTGGCCGTAGAGGTAAGGTCACTCCATATTTTGCTTGGAGACGTCAGTGGTTGAAAGCCTCAAGTATAACTGGATGACTATCTTCAATTATCTGTAGAAAAAAGTTAAACATTCTGGTTGAAAATCTTAAAACCTTTAGAAAAAATGTAAAAGGTTAAATTAAGTTTAACATGATTTTTTTTACAGAAGAAATTACAAAACTTTATAACTATTTCGTCTTACCCGAAAGATACTTTACAAAAACTATCCAAACTCAATTTTGTAATGTTTAGTTTACTTTAAAAGGAAACATTAAGAACCAAGAAAATTGGCTTTAATTGAAAATACTAAAACTTAAGAAAATGACCAATTGATTTAAACTAAACAATGTCTTCGATTAAAGAAATAAATATGACAAATAAACTGCAATTTTAATTTAAACCCGATGGTTATTTAGAAAACCCGACATTGAAAAAAATATCAATACTCAAGAAGTGTTGGTCTCACAGCTGGTACAAGGACTCGTACAGTAGCTGGTCTTCCTCTCAGCTGGCGAGATCTTTACCATACTCCACCACTCCGTCAGCTATCCCCCCACCAGATCAGATCAGGACTCCTGCAACAAGAAATGTATAAAATATAATAGTTAGTAGAAATCCATAGGTTGTACAGCCAAGATAATGTACTCCTGTACAGTCCCCTTCACTAATACGTTTACAGGGAGTCATCAGGTAGTGTATTGTGGCAGCCCTGTGTTTTACATTCGACAGACGTTAACTTGCAATAGTATAGTATGGAATCCGATTAAAACTGCATTAAAACCAATCTCAATTTGTGGAATGCTTACATGACGAGCCCCTGTAGACGCACTAGTGAAGGGGACTACTTGATGTAATATAATGCACCCGTAGTGTACTTATCTTATGGTTCCTTCGTCTTAATCTCAACATTCAATACAAAACGCCATGTCAACAGAGCTTCAGTTCATCAACAAAGCAAAAGGAAGAATAACAAGCTGGAACTACTGCCGCGAAAAGTACAGCGTCTCGTACATATCACTAAATATTTCTTTATGTTAACTTTCAAAATATCAAGTTCCCAATGTTGTGGTCTCAAGAACAAGAACCGACAATAAGTTATTACTAAATTAACGTTTAGGTTCTTATCTCCAAGTCTTAAATATCCCATCACAATCTAGAGGCTAGAAATCCCTCCCCAGGTCAGAACCACAACTCGAGGGACCAACACCGCTTCACAAATTAAATAAAACTAATATACGTTTTGCTGTGGTGTTCATTTATGGTCCAAATTAACTAATAAAGTCACACCTCAACATTATCTCTGCCCTTGATACCTGAACAAACTTTAACAGCTTTGGGATGTAATGTAAATTATCGTAAATAAACAAGGTTAACTAACGTAAACTAACTGATACCGGCGAGTACACTACAGTACTTTTACCTGTATGTAAGTCAAGGATTATAAGAGTGGAACGTACCCGGTGAGCTGGCAGGGTATTGTACGTCACAACCCGTCAGCCGGCAGAATCCACCGGTAACAAATATTCTCCGGCCAGCTGTACCCGTCATCAGCAAATCCCATCAGCCGTCAGCAGTATTCAGCAGCAAAGCCCATCGCCCGTTAACAATAATCAGCAGCAGCAGTTGTAACGGTCACGGAGCAGCAGGAAGTCGTCAGAAACAACACTGAGAAGTACTGTGTGTGGCAGCTCCAACACCACCTCTCCCTGTGATGTTTCGAGACGTAAATGAGGCTTCGACTCATCCATACTTAACTCTGAACCACCCGAATCTCACTTTACTAACGAAGATATAAACATTCTTACGAACTACTAATGATAAAATAACAACCTAAAGTAATAATGATTAACAATTTCACTTATTAAACCACAATTACTTACTTAATTACAAAATCCATTCGGGAAATTGAATCCCTGTTCGAGGCCAGTTTCGAATTCTTGTCCATTGGTGTTTTCTGGTTCTGGTAGTGACGTCACCAGTGGGCGGTGTTTGTAAAGGAGGTATTTGGACTACCAATTGGCTGTTCTGTTGTTTTATTGAATTAACAATCGACGAAAGTGATAATACACGTTTACTTTAAAAATTTAATACAATTAAATAAAAGTAACAATAATTCTGCTTCTTGCTGTTCAGTTCTGACCAATAATATAGACAGAGGGTTAGTTAGGCTGCCACCAGTTGAGGCTTGGTAAAGACCAGTCAAATTATGTCTCGTTTTGCTCAATTATATGAGGAATTTTGAAGCAATGACGTAAGTTTTATTCAGATCAGGGTAGTTAGTTGTTGACTTAGCAGACATAAGCATTTATTAATTAAAATCCTCATACAAGTTCACGTACTGTACGTTCACCATGCACATACCCAGTGTAGGCTTACAAACAGGCTGTTATTCCTATATGTGACAGGATCCAAATAAATTTGACACGGATTTCACGAGATTGCTGTAGCCCAGCGATGGCGGCGAGAGTGTGTTGGGCGCCAGGGGAGGAGGGGAGAGGGTCATTTGAGCCTCGCTAGCGCAGAAGTGCTGTCACTGATGATAGGCGATTCCGGCGTTCAGTGCGGGCATAGGTCGCCCCCTAATGAATGCCCGCGAGGATGGCTATGCTCTCAGTGTCAGTGGAGGAGGCCCAATCCTGGACTCTGATTTACCTGCGGGCCTGGCGCTCAGGGATTCACACGGCTGCCCCAGCGTGATAATAGACCCACCACAGTAGACAAGGAGAGGAGGGTGGGAGGCCGGGAGAGGGGAGACGGCATCGTCAGTCTGGTGGAGGCAGCTGTGTTTGAGTATTCATCGTAGTTGGGTGGATTGATGACCAGAGAAGGAGTGGACGACCACGTCAACACTAGGGGAAGTCCACGGCGGTAGAGGCGGATGAGTGAACTCCCTCCGGGGTGGGGGAGAGGTGGAGGCAACAGTGTGACCGGGCCAGTGTCGAGAGGGGGGAGGGAAGGGTGGTGGGGCCAGGCCGGTACCACACGAAACACTGAAGAGCTAAGGTGGCGACGCTAGACTAATAAATAATGGATGCCCTTCAAAATCGAGGATGGCCGACCCTAGGGTCACCTAGGCGTGAATTTGTTTAAGATATAGAAGCTGTAGTTATTTGACAAGACTTTATGTACGAACTTCTGTCAAAGTTATAGTCATTGTTCCCTTTAGGATGTCTAGCACTGTGGCGAGTGACTTTTCTTCAACATGCTTTAGACTAAACAGGTTCCGGTATGAGACTATAGAATGTGTGATTATTTCCATTCGACAATACCACAGAGACCGATTTAGATTATATATTAAGAGTTTGACAAAAATCATTACGAAAACTACCTGTTCAAGGATTTTATTGCAAGTTAATTTAGAAATGCATCTCGCCTTTAACACTGCCCCGGATACCTGTGTAAACTTTAACTCTGTGATGACTACAGTAAGGTATACTAACGTAAACTTAGTGCACCGGAATTATATCGGTATGTCTGTATACTAATGAGTTTTGAGCAGAACTTTACCTGTCAGCAGGGAGCACTTGTTAACATCGAGTACCCAGTAGTGTCAGTAGCCGACAGCCAGCAGTACTCGCCACCAGTATATAGTCAGCAGCAGCCGTCTGCCCACAGTACCTGACAGCAGCAGTAGAGAGAGTGAGGAGGGAAGGTGTGTGTCAGTCTAACATCACGTCTGACTGCCACAAGTTGAGTGAGGTTTCGTTGACGTGTGAATGAGGTCTCGTCTCACCCATAGTCAACCATCTACCAGCCCAGGTTACTAAAGGAGATATAAACACTATTACTGAACCACCACCGAGAAAATAACCTTAAAACACAATAATTTACCCCCAAACTTAATAAAACTGGTACTATCCGCTACTGTACTTTACTTATTATTGAGATATTAATTCAAAGTTCGAGGCTTTATTCGGTGTTAACTCTTGCACTGGGATGACACTTGGCTTATGTATACCAAGAAATATAATTTTATAAGACTGTAGAGGGAAGGTTTGGCCTCAGTGCCCCTCCCTCTGGCTACAGCAATGGCTATCAGTCTCTCTCTTGGAAGGAATAACTACAAAAACAACCACTTGGTTCACATACAATTTATTGATCACAATACACTGTACAATAATATACGGTTTCACTTGCACTGTATACCAACTAATATGTTTCTTGTGTAATATAGAGGATGTATTGAAAATTTTTATTAAAGTATTTCAAAAATAGTGTTTTTTATATTATTAAAATATGCATTATGATATGACATGTTAAAATATGAGGGAGGGAGGGAGGGACGGGATGGGAGGGAGGGAGGGAGGGAGGGGAGGGGGATGGGAGGGAGGACGGGAGGGAGGAGGGAGGGAGGGAGGGAGGGAGGGAGGAGGGAGGGAGGGAAGGATGGGAGGGAGGGAGGGAGGGAGGGAAGGATGGGAGGGAGGGAGGAGGGAGGGAGGGAGGGAGGGAGAGGGAGGGAGGGGAGGGGAGGGAGGGAGGAGGAAAGGGAGGAGGGAAGGAAGGGAGAAAGGAAGGAGGGAAAGGAGAAAGGGAGTGAGAGAAAGGGAGAAAGGAGGGAGGGAGGGAAGGAGAAAGAGGGGAAGGGAGGGAAGGGAGAAAAGAGGGAAGGGAGGGAGGAAGGGAGAAAGGAGGAGGAGGGGAGTGAGGGAAGGGGAGAAAAGGAGGGAGGGAGGGAAGCGAGAAAAGAGGGAGGGAGGAAGGGAGGGAAGAGGGAAGGAGGGAAGGGAGAAAAGAGGGAAGGAGGGAGGGAGGGAGGGAGGTGTGCGTATCAATTAATGCTGCGACAACAACAATGAGTCACACCGCATATAGTTAACTCTACCTTATTTTTTCGGCCCCATTCACATATTTTCATCTGGACTAAACTGTACCATCCACTCAGGAGTAAATCCTCTGACCAGCTCACTACAGCATTAACTTGTGTCACATCACCACTCTGAAGGTCAAGACATACAGGCCTGACACACTCGTCCAGAATATAAACAAAAGATATGAACTTACCCTCAACAGAAGTTCTTAGTATGCCAGGTGACCGAGATGATATTATTGTGACTAAATCAATCGCTACATTAATAAAAATAAGTTCAGTAAGACTTCTATTTAAAGGACTATATAGAGATGAAAGTTTGTTATATCGAGGGTCCATTAGATGTGAAACCCTCATCTAATGGATTATATGAAGAGAGAAGTCCACTATATAGAGGTTTTACCGTGATGACAAACTGAACGTCAAAACTACAACAAAGTATTTCCGTAGATAAAAAAAAATACAGTGGTTGTATGATCTCGTATTCAGACATGAGGTAGCGGAGATGATGACTGACATGCGGTGTAGACAAATGACATGTGATGAAAACACTAGTATGAGACCTCTCCTTCCCTCAACACTCACTTCACTGCTCCACTCAAAACATCTGGACCTCAATTCCTTTACCACAATAATTAAATAATAATAAAAGGAACAAATAGCCTTAAAACTAATAAAACAACCTATAATAATAAACTAGTCACACTATAATATAAACTTTTCCTGCTAAAAAGAGTGAGAATAACACTGTTTTGTTTCATGTGTCGAGAAAATTCAGGAGGACATATTTTTGAAGTTTTTTTTTTTTAGGTAAAGATGTTATATAATATTAACTGGGAATCTCTACATTATCTCTTCTTTACTAAAAAATATGATAAAAAATATATCAAGTCAAAGAAACAGAACTTTGTAAAATATATTTCCTAACAAAAGGTGTTCTGTACATTACTCCTTTATATAGCTTAAACAGGGGTCTTCATCACTCAGTAGAATAATATATTTTCTTGTTCTAAAGTAAATAAAATCATACGTTCAAAATCTGGCTAAAATTATAAGTTAATAAAAAAGGCGGTGGAAGGTAATGTTTTGAATTTGAACTTATTTTGTTGTCACGGAAAAAGTAAGTCTCACACACACACACACACACACACACACACAGACATATACACACACACCAAGGTGCTTACAACAAGAGCTATATTATGTGTATATTAACCAACAAGTTCACAGTCAAAAATGTTCCTACAGAGATAACCAAATTAAATGAAGAATAAAGAACTATGGAGGTACAGACTCTACACTACTCAACGAAGGCAACATATTTCAGGACGTGGACACAGGGATGGGAGCACCATGTTCAGTGGGTCTATTACTTTGTATTAGTTAACACATTATATCTTGATGCCTGACTGTGGTCTTATGAACCATCAGTCCTTCCTACTCCTTCATCTTGTTTTTTTTTTTAAATTAATTTTTACCATTAAACCTTACTTACTCTCAATCATATTTAAGACACGACTTAAAATCTTGGGTGTGCTATTGCAAAAATATATCTCTCTTTAACTGTCTATAATTGTAATAAAATGGGAGTTGCCTTGCCATCCCACCGGCCAGCCGGGGATCAAATGGTTTATGCACGCTTAGGACGACAGGTTGTGGCTCCTCACCATAAAGGTCATGTAGATGTGATTCTATGTTATGTTAGTTGGAGTCTTGCCCAGCACTACAGTGGACTGGGGGTTGTCTCACACCACACGCGAGGGCATGGGGGAGCAGACTCCGCCCTCGCACATGTGTGACGTGTATTAAATAAGTCGCCTGTTAATGACATCTTTGAGGGTGTGTGTGAACATGACATCTCTGAGGGTGTGTGTGAACTAAACATTCTGGACCTGGAGATGAGGAGCGATACAGCCGTCACTGAAGCACCGAAGATGTCCGAGGTGTTTTAACACTTTCCCCAACACGACAAAGTCCAACAGAATCGGGGACGACCAGTTACCACACGGAACACCTATTGCTGGGGTTGAGGGTAGAGCCAGCCGGGCATTTCCAGTCGTGGGCAAACTCGGGTTGATTGCTGAACGGTCCGTTAACGCGGAACTGCGCCGGGGAGTGGGCGCCGGTCAAGATGCGCAGCTTAAGAGTCTCCGGACGATACTTGCCACACCAGGCATTGGCCGCGGAGATCCAGAACAGCTGTTTGGTGGAGTAGGGGAGGGAAGGCAGAGTTTTCTCCTCACCGTTGTCCTTCACCCATTGATTATAAGCCATGTAAGACTCCTTGATGCCACCGTTGTCAGCAATGTTCTCTCCCTGGGTATTGATACCATTCAGCTGCAATAATATTTTATCTATTTATTCATATTCTTCAGACATGTGATATTTACTTATTAAAATTTTAGCACATCATGAAAACTTGTACACACTTGGCTCCTATAACCATCTACAGGTGCTCCTCTACTTAAGAACGTTCAACTTACAAACTTTCAGAGATACAAACATCATCACTGAGGGAGGTTACCTGCCAGAACAAGTGTTTAATGTGAATGAGACTGGATTATTTGGAAGAAAATTCCAGATACAGCAAACAATACCTAAGAGGAGAAGAGTGAGCCAGGTTTTAAGGCTGTATTAAAGGTATAGCTGTACTAAATATCCATAACCTTTTAATTTTTTATAATATGTTTGGTATCTACAAGAGTAAAGTTGGACTTACAAACAATTGGACTTACAGACAAGCCTCAGGAATGTAACTGGTTCGTAAGTAGAGGAGCACCTGTACTGTATACTGTAAGGTTGATTAATTACTATCACTACAATGCAACAGTTTACACCAACTTTCTCAAATACTTATGACTAATTATTGTACTCAACCATCTTTGACCAGTTTATGTACAGTTGATCAAAAAACTATCTTTATAAAAATGATCTTAAATAATATGACAACGGATGAAGAATTTTGACAACCCTACCGAGACAACAGGAGTCACAGCGTTCGTCTTGAAACTCATCGATCACCCAGTAAAGATCATTTTTTTAGCAACTGTACATAAAGACCAGATAAAACAATACACCAGGAAGTTTATTTTACTGTATACACTGGGTTAATATACAGCAGCAACAAGTTTATCTCTCACAACTGTGTCCTGGGTTCAGGCTCTGGACCAGGTCAGATGTGAGAAGGGTGTTGTACAGTGTGACTTTCACTCCCATACATGGCAGGTTTTCTCCACAATAAAGGTCATAACAACTACATAATAAGATGATAATTGGCGAAATAATACGTTAAAATAAATCAACGATAAGGAACCTCCAGTACATTCCTTACTCCTGCGCCACAAACTTACGTTGAGGTTCACTTCGGGAGCGGTGTAGTTGCCGTACTGCTCGATGATGCACTTGGCCTTCTTGAGGAACTTCTCTTTGGTCTCCTTCTCCCACCAGTCACGCAGGTCACCCTTGGCGTCAAACTGTCGTCCCTGTGAGTACCAGCAACATAGTGAGTCATGAACATCATTACTTGTATTGCTGATCTATGACATGTTAACGGACGAGAGAGAGAGAGAGAGAGAGAGAGTCCTTAATAACACACCACAACAACAGAGAAAAGATCAACACAATGTTCTCTCAGCCAACACCAACTCTCATCTTACCGAATCATCAAAGCCGTGAGTAATTTCGTGGCCGATGACGTAACCAATGGCTCCAAAGTTCATATATTTCGGTCTGTCGGCCCCGAAGAATGTTCCCTGTAGGATACCGGCCGGGAACTCTGTAGGGGGAAGGGCATTGATTCAGGTAAGTCCGCTAGAGTATTTCATATAACCATTTATCTATGAAAATTATGACCAGGTTAAGTGAGGCATTCGAACCTAGAATGAGAAAGGACTTGAAATTTGTTTTATTTGTTCCATTATAACCTTCAAACAATATCTCTAAGCTACCCCTATAAGCATACACCCAATGACCCCCACAAACACACTCACGGATAGAGTTCTCCAATGGGCTGTAGAAAGCATTGACGACAGCTGCGGATCCGTGATTCCTCCAGTCCTTCTTGTCGATCTTCTCCCTCAGCCTCTTGAAGGAATAGTCGGTACCGAAGATGGTCATGTTCCGCATGTTCTCCAGGAGTTCACCGCTCGAGATCTCCAACTGTTGGGATGAATGACACGGTTTAATACCAACGCTATAATCAATTACAGTATAATCAAACTGTCATACCATCACCATAATGCTGTCATGACTCAATTTAACTGTCATGACTCAACCTAACTGTTATACCATCACCATAATGCTGTCATGACTCAATTTAACTGTCATGACTCAACCTAACTGTTATACCATCACCATAATGCTGTCATGACTCAATTTAACTGTCATGACTCAACCTAACTGTTATACCATCACCATAATATTGTCATGACTAAATCTGTTAGGTTAGGTATACATTTTTCTTTAGACATCTGGGAAGTACAGCAGGTAACTCACCCCATCATACAGTTCTGTCAACTTGTCGTCAATCAGCAGCTCAGGAGGGTAGGCAATATGAGGGGTGATGGCTTCAGCCTTCTTCAGGGCTCGGATGCGTGTAGCCTCGTCCATCCAGTCAATGTTTTCCAGAATCTTTTTAAATTCGGCACGGATGTATCTGACCATCTCATCAGCGGCGGCCTTGGCGTCCTCCTTGAAGAATGTCCGTGCATACATAGACCCCACGGCATGTGACAAGCTGGAAATTAACAAAATGTATTACTTTTTACTTTTTTTACTTTTATCCTCTTCACCACTGGTCGGCTCATTAGCCACTCAGGCAATCAGTCACGTCTCTGTTATACACTGTTGGCAAGTACTGAGCATGCACTGGCTCCTGAATGTATCTGAACCTGCTCCAGTGCTTATCAAGTCTGGTCTTGAAAGAGCTCACACTCGGTGCCGTCACAACACTGGCAGATTGTTCCAAGAGTTCACAACTCTCACTCTGAAAAAGTTACCCATCACAGTTTTCTGGACCTGCGGCTTCTTCAACCTTAACTGTGACCCCTAGTGGGGCGAGCGTCTGCCAGCTCCAGGTAAGGACACTCAACTGAGTAGTGCCCTTTGAGATGTTTATACACCTCAATTAGGTCACCCCTTGCCCGTCTGTAGTACAGTATAAGCTAGGCAAGTTCAGGCGCTCCAATCTCTCAGGGTAGTTGAGGTGCCGAAGTGCAGGCACCAGTCTGATGGCCCACCTTGTTCAAGAGTCTCCTTTTCTGTGACTGCACTGTACTATACATCTGGACTCTCTCTTACCCTTACAGAACACAGACAAATATAAGGTTACTGTATGGAGAACTATAACCACTAAGACCAGCCTCCAACTGGTCTTTCTCTCACCTGCCAGACACAGATCTCATGCACTCCTTCCAGCGAGGCTCCCTGGTCCCCTTCCCTACCAGCTTCTTGGAGTACTCGAGCTGGATGTCACGAGCATCTTCACTCAGGAAACTCACCGACGCAGCTGTTACTCGCCACAACATGTAGTTGGCTATCACTCTGTAACAACACATGGCTGTTAATTGGGGGAAACTTTTAATCACCTGAAGAGTAGCTGACCTGCCTTAACCTCCAGCTTATTTAACATAATGATTAAACACCTTAACACTACCTGGGGGTTTATGAAAGGTTAATTTAAGTTAGGTTAGTGTTAGATTAGGTTAGTTTAGTCTTGTTTGTGTTAGGTTAGATTAGTGTTGCTAGATTAGATTATATTATATTATATTATATTATATTATATTATATTATATTATATTATATTATATTATATTATATTATATTATATTATATTATATTATATTATATTATATTATATTATATTATATTATATTAGACTACATTAGATTAGATTAGAGATTATATTATATTATATTATATTATATTATATTATATTATATTATATTATATTATATTATATTATATTATATTATATTATATTATATTATATTATATTAGACTACATTAGATTAGATTAGAGTAGACTTAGATTAGATAAGATAGGAATAGGTAAGTGTTAGGATAGTTAATCTTAAAAAGAAATAAGCTGGGGGGCATAATCTTCAAACACTGTAAAACATTTACCGCTAACAAGTCTTAATTAATGAAACACAGGAATATGACAGATGACGAGGTCCCCATGTTCTAAATCCTCCCTCATGTGTTCTTGATACACACACAGGACACTAATACAACACATACCATAAGGACCACATTACCCAGTGCCTCAAAGAGAGCTCAGGTTCTCAGTCATGTTAATATTGTTATTATTATCCACTCTGTATCTGTATTTTTTTCTGGCTAAATAAACTGTTACAATTCAAGGTTCTCAGGTATGGAACTGTTTCATACATTCATCTGGTAATGCCCGAACACTGTATATATGACTTCCACAAAGATATTCTGATGCAATGTCATGAAATAGACAAAATCACTAGAGTTTAGAAGGATTTTTCTTTTGGATTGACATGTGGAATAGTGTTTTTATAAGTAGGTCGAAGGATGGAGGTACATATACAGTTCTGTGATATAAAAACCCCTCCAAGACATACAGTGACTTACCTCTTGGGGGTCTTGATAAGAAGCTTGCCTAGTTTCTTCACATAGCTGGGTACATTGACAATAACTGGCTCCTGGATGGTCACCTGAGTTATAAAAAAGAAACATTAGTTATTATTTCTGCTGTAGAGTTTTAATATTAGTGTCACATGTTATCAGCAGTACATTGTCAACACAGCCTAGCATCACCCTCACCTATATGTGAAAAAGAACAGAAAAATCTACTGATGATGGCCACTGTCCGTACAACTACCAGGTAACTTCCACAGATGATGACAGCCATTTCAGGGTTTATACACAAGCATGAGAATCTCTGCCCCTTGGAGAAACTCAGAGACAACACTCCCGCAGCTCTCACCATGAAGGACCCAGCTCCCGGGGAAGCAAGGACTCACCGTGAAGGAGCCAGCTCTCAGGGACTCACCGTGAAGGAGCCAGCTCTCAGGGACTCACCGTGAAGAAGGGAGTAAGGATGCTGTTAATGTACTCCAGCCATGGGATCTCAGGCACCATCTCCTGTAGCTCTTTAATGGTCATCTTGTTGTACAGTTTGGTGGCGTTGCGTCGCTCTTCCTTGGGCAGCGAGAACTGTAGGCAAGACCGTGGGGGTTAAACAATGTTTCATGTGGGCAGAATCTATCTTGTTTCTTTAAGATCACAACTTAACCTTTACTTACTACTTACATCTGTAATTTTACCAATACTTAAAACTTAAATCTGTCACTTTACTTAATAATGAATTGTATTACTTTACTTAAAACTTAAATTTGTCACTTTACTTAATACAGAAATGTGTTATTTTACGTAAAACTTAATCTATTTTCATTAAATCTCAATAAACAATACATATAAAATCTTTGTAACTTGAGGAGAACATCATGAAAATATATTGCATTTCATAGGTATAATATCCTCACATTAGCCAGCTGGATTTCAAATTCGAGTGATTCCTTGAGCTCCACCATAGCCCTAGTCCTGTCAGCACCGAGGAGCTCAGCCAAGTTGACCTGGTAGTTGTAGTAGGCTTGTACGTCACTGTCGTTGAGCCCCTTCAGAAGGTACTTGCGGGATGGCATACCGAGGGGCGGCTGGTCAATCTGCAGGAAGATGATTGAGGGAGTAATTACTAGGAACGATGTTAAAGGGAATTGACCAACACTAGACAATTTTATTCAACACAGAAAGACGTCTGTACACTTGAGGTTAATATATAAATCTGTGATATGTAATGTCTGTTGTTTATGGAAATGTCACACTTGGCCCCGCCCAGCAATATGATGTATGGCTTTGTGATTGGATAATGTGGCAGTCAATCTACAGCACTTCATTATTTGTTTTCTAACTGACCAATCACACGCCTAGATGAGAGAAAGAGAGCAGGGTTGGCAGGTTAGCGGGAAGACTATTTAACATTTCCATAATGAACAGACTATAATGACCATCAACAAGAAGAAAAATGTAAATAACTTACGTCAATAATCCTCCAGGTAGAATTCTTGATGTTGGTGGTGACGGAGAAGTCGAAGATGTAGTCGAGAGAGTAACCCAGTTGACGGTTGATGTAGATGTTACTGGTCCACTGGAAGGCCGAGGGCTTCCAGGTGTCTCCCTCCAGCACCGGCCAACCTCCCATCTTCTTCAGTATCCCCTTCAGTGGCTCCAAACCGTGCTTCTTGATACTCTCTGTAGGATACACCTTCAACATCACTCACAGCCAATGAAAACAATGTCAAACCTCCACATAATGGACTTCTCTCTTCATATAACCCATTAAATGGAGGAGTTCCACATTTAACGGACCCTTGATATAATGGACCTCTATGGTTAGTTAGATGGTGTTCTGACAATAGTGAAATAAGTAAAGAAACTCAATCATTACTGTACTCGTGGACAAACCAATTGTATTAAATATTGTTGTTGTTAGAGTAGTATTACTGTTATAAGAGGAGGTGACCTGACTAACCTGTATTAGTACAAGACTTATAAAGTGCCTTGACCATCTTGGTAGAGGGTGAGTCTTTGGATGTCTCCTCAGCCTCCACCAGACCTCTCAGCTTCTCCTGGAGGTCATCGGAGACCTCGTTGAAGCGGGAGAGAGCCGTCTTATCGTCCGGGATGATCTTGGTCTTAAGGAACCCACCACAGGCGAACTTAAAGAAGTCTTCACACGGGTTAACTGTTTGGTCCATGGAGTCGACCAAGCTGGCGGCTGTGAGGGAGGGAAGGTGTGTTAGTGTGAGGTACATTACTACAGGTGTTGTATTTTACATAACTTTATTCACTAGTATGAATAGTTAATATAATACAATATATCTTACAATACAATTAACATAAAATCAGATTAAAAATTTACGTCAATTTAATTTCTGAATTTTTTAAAATCTATCGTAAAATCCATCTTTATTATTCCCCAAAATGCAATACGTAAATTAACAAAAAAAAAAAAAAAAAACTTAAACTTTTGATCTTTAAGTGAAAGGTGTGATTCATAAAGTAACTTATTGATGCAGTTTCCGTCATAGACTGTACACAAAGATTTCTTAATGATGTTTTATTCATAATTACTGAAGTTGTGGGTAGTGATGAGAGTAAACGTGCTGGATTTGATAGAAAGTGACGGGTTGTGGTACTTACAGAGAGAAAGTAACAGCTTATGGTACTTACAGACAGAAAGTGTATGGTTGTGTATACTTACCAGCCTTAACACAGCCCTGGGTGAGACAGACGTCGGAGGACCCGCCTGTCGAAGTAGTAGTATCCGGGCAGCCGGTGAGGGCTGCTGAGACAACAGGCAGCAATGAGGCATCTACTACGTGAGGCAAGAGGGAAGAGAAGAGAGAGAGAGCGTGCGGTTAGGTGTGCGGCAGACGACAGCGGTAGCGACGGCGACGGCGTGCAGGAGTGAGGAACAGCCAACAGCAACAGCCAACAGCAACACACACACACACACACACACACAAAGGGACGGATCGATAACATGCGACACACACAAAGGGACGGACTGATACAAAGAACACACACACATTTACCTTGCTTGACCCCAGGTGTGTATGTGTGTTGATATTCGTGTCATAACTGTGATATGGGAATGTAAGGAACTGCACCTGTCTGTCTGTGTGTTGGTGAAGGCATCAGTATCCTACACACACACAAGCACGGTGGTCACATATGTACTAATAACCTAGATCATGTAGGTCAGTGAAACGAGTGATTTAGCCTCAGGTCAAGCAAGGTCACTGATATTTAAGAGAGTGTCAAGCAAAGTAAAAAAAAAATCAAATTAGGAAATATTTTCTTTGTAATATAAAAAACAAAAAAACATAATAGTTTTTTAAATAATTTCAGTAGAGATATTGTGAGCCATTAAGTGAACCAGTGGGAAGGACTCGAGTCTTGTATCAGTCAAAAGGTTATACAGGATGGGTCAGGGTGAGGGAGTGGGTGGCGTTCATTAAGGGGAGGTGCTGAGACCACCACACTTATGAGAGGAGGAGAAGGAGAGGAGGAGTGGAAAAGCACGAGATGGGAGGGAGGGAGGGAGGGGAAGAGAGAGAGGGAGGGAGGGAGGGGAAGAGAGAGAGGGAGGGAGGGAAAGGGTGTTCCCTCTCTCTCTCAAGTGGCACACCGCTGATTTGTCTTACCCACATTCGTCCTCAGTTGTTGTTGTTGTTGTTGTTGTTGTTGTTGTTGTTGTCTGCTCTCACAGTCAACACGTTCATAAAGTCAGTTCATATTTCATCAACTAACTAAGTCAAGTCAACTATTAGCTAATGAGTCTTTTGAAAGTTCTTGAATAATAACCAAAAAATATATTATTTATTTTTGTTGTGGGTCAGATCACCTGAACGATCACCATCCCAGCCTATTTCACCTGAAGATCAACTACCCTAAAGCTATCTTGGGGGGTCTAGTAACAGTGCCCTGTCCTAGTACTAAGTAACACTACCCCGTCACAAGTAGCACTACCCCGTCTAAGTAGCACTACCCCGTCACCAGTTGTACCACTGTCAAATACCCGTCTTACTACGTCCCGGGTCGTCAATGTCTTGCACTACTCCGTCACAAGTTGCAATACCCCACAAGTTGCAATACACTACCCCGTCACAAGTAGCACTGTCTAAAGTAGCACTACCCCGCCTGTAGCACTACCCCGTCACTAGATACCGTCACAAGTAGCAATACCCGTCACAAGTTGCAATACCCCGTCTGTTGCAATACCCGTCAGCAATACCCCGACACAAGTTGCACTACCCCGTCACAAGTTGCAATACCCCGTCACAAGTTGCAATACCCCGTCACAAGTTGCAATACCCCGTCACAAGTTGCAACACCCCGTCACAAGCTGCAATACCCCGTCACAAGTTGCAATACCCCGTCACAAGTTGCACTACCCCGTCACAAGTAGCACTACCCCGTCACAAGTAACACTACTGTCACAAGGAACAACGAAGTATGTCACGTAACAGCTGTGTCTTTACCTTAACAACGTAACACTATGTCCGTCACGTAAGTAACAGCGTGTGACGGCGTAACAGGTCCCATTTATATAACATCTCATGTAACAAGTCTTAATATCATGAGTTACTGAGAGAAGGTCAAGGTTGCTGAGAAGTGAGAGGTCATGGTTACTGAGAGGTCAAGGCATGGTTACTGAGAGAGTTACTGAGAGGTCATGGTTACTGAGAGGTCAAGGCTACTGAGAGGTCAAGGCTACTGAGACTGACATGGTTACTGAGGACTGAGGTCACTGGTCAAGGCTACTGAGGTCATGGTTACTGAGATGACATGGTTACTGAAAGGTCTACTGGTTACTGAGGGTCAAGGTTACTGAGAGGTCAAGGCTACTGAGAGGTCATGGTTACTGAAGCTGGTTACTGAGAGGTCAAGGCTACTGAGGGTCAAGGTTACTGTCAGTTACTGGTCATGGTTACTGGTGCTACTGAGAGGTCATGGTTACTGAGGGTCAAGGCTACTGAGAGGTCTACTGAGGTCAAGGCTACTGAGAGGTCATGGTTACTGAGTCATGGTTAGGTCAGGCTACTGAGAGGGTCAAGGCTACTGAGAGGTCAAGAGTCATGGTTACTGAGGTCAAGGCTGGTCAAGGCTACTGAGAGGTCAAGGCTACTGAGAGGTCAAGGCTACTGAGAGGTCAAGGCTACTGAGAGGTCAAGGCTTGAGGCTACTGAGAGGTCATGGTTACTGAGTCATGGTTACTGAGGGTCAAGGCTACTGAGAGGTCATGGTTACTGAGAGGTCAAATGTTAACGCAGATCATTAAAGGTCAATGTTACCACCACCTTAACTAATAGCTGAGTTTATTTATAGCAAAAGAACAAAACAAAAGCAAAATTAACAAGCAATAGAAGAGAGAGAGAGAGAGAGAGAGAGAGAGAGAGAGAGAGAGAGAGAGAGAGAATGACCCTGAGGAACACCTAGTCAACAAACACCAAAATTTGATCATCAAGCAGTAATAATATTCAAGCACTGTTTAGTAAGTTAATTAGCAATATTTTAAAAGTAATGTAACACCAAGAGAAGCACCTTAAGTAATGAACCAAGTAGAAATAAGTAAATAAAAGTGCGTTATAAAAGTACTCAGTGATATAAGCAAGGAAGGTCGACATAGGTATACATTAACACATCTAGAATATTTTTTGTTTTCCAATTATTTATCTTACTGAAATATTAAAAGTTAAATATATAGGAATATATGAAATAGATTTTAATAACTTTATAGTGAGAATATATAGAGAAAATCCCATTACACTGCTTCTTAATATATAAAATACTAATAATTGGACAAAATATTCCCTCCCTTCCCTCCCTCATTCTTGTTTATACAGTACGATAACATTTCCCTCATCGGCAACACTCGCCCAGCTCCCGCTCTACCGACCTGCCAGACGTAAAAAAAAACCTCGATGATTACTAATATATACATTATATAAACAAAAATTCATCATCATACCAAAATAATGCTAAACAACCACCCACTATAAATAAAAACTTTTAACCCAACCACTGATAGACAATAACACAAGGAGTAGAGTACAGTAAACACAACAACATGATGGATTCGTACACTATCAGTAAATGTTATCGTACACAAACAAAACCATCGTACACATATTCTTATCTACGTATTTTAAACTTAAGTACAAGCAGTTAAATAAATCTTAGGACTTGAGTTAAGACAAAAATAAATCTGGTAAAACCTTCAGAGAACCAGTAATACCTTGACTTCTGCATACACAGCACCCAATAACACTTAATCTTATAAGAAGTGGCGTTGAAATAAACCTTCCTAATGGTGTACCACAAAATAAATAGATTAATCGAAAAAAAACCCCACTATAATTATTAGGACATTACGGAAAATAAATGACTTGACTTGATCTGTAATTAGAAATAGGTAATATAACTTGACCCCAGAGAAGTAATTAAGTTATTTAGTTTATTAAGTAACTACCGGGGAAAATGATATATATTAATTTCTTAACAAGATATGAGTTATTGGTGTTCCCAGATAATTGGTTTCTGTGAGAGAGAGAGAGAGAGAGAGAGAGAGAGAGAGAGAGAGAGAGAGAGAGGAACGGAATAAAAAAAAACTGTCACGAGAAAACTTCAACACACACACACACAGACAGACAGACAGACAGACAGACAGCTCGAATTAGACAGACACAAGAACAAGACATCAAAGACACAAGAACAGACGGAGAGGAGAGAAAACTTTGGAAAAGAGGAAAGATAAACTACGACTTTGGGAAACTTTGGGTGGGTGAAAGGTATAGTTTGCATAACGCTGTGACAAGAGTTTATTGAAAGAAGAAGAAGAAGAAGAGGTTAGGTTAATGGACGCTACAGTGTAAATATCCCGGCAGACCACATACTGTAGTAGCACCAATAACTCTCTCTCTCTCTCTCTCTCTCTCTCTCTCTCTCTCTCTCTCTCTCTCTCTCTCTCTCTCTCTCTCTCTCCAAGGATTCAGAGGCAATTAAAGTTGTGGAGAACAGGTAAAAGTAATCACCATGCAATCACCTTTCCTTCCACCCACTCCTCCTCTCCATCCCACTCCCCGCCCTCTCCACCCCACCCCACGAGCCCCGACAGACCCCACCCTCACAGCCCCCGACGCCTAAATCCACACCACATCACCGGGGGCTGCAACGCCCTACCTCATGTAAATTGTTCCTCTCTCTCTCTCTCTCTCTCTCTCTCTCTTTCCGCCTCCTCTCTCTCTCTCTCTGCCACTGCCCCTCTCTCTCTCTCTGCCCTGCCCTCCTCTCTCTCTCTGCCACTGCCCTCTCTCTCTCTGCCACTGCCCCTCTCTCTCTCTCTGCCTGCCCTCTCTCTCTCTGCCACTGCCTCTCTCTCTCTCTCTCTCTCTCTGCCACTGCCTCTCTTTCTCTCTCTCTCTCTCTGCCACCTCTCTTTCTCTCTCTCTCTCTCTCTGCCACTGCCTCTCTTTCTCTCTCTCTCTGCCACTGCGTCTCTCTGCCATTCTCTCTCTCTCTCTCTCTCTCTCTCTCTCTCTCTCTCTCTCTCTCTCCCTCTCTGCCCCTCTCTCTGCCACTGCCTCTCTCTCTGCCACTGCCCTCTCTGCCACTGCCCCTCCTCTCTCTCTCTGCCACTGCCTCACTCTCTCTCTGCCACTGCCTCTCTCTCTCTCTCTCTCTCCCCTCTCTCTGCCACTCTCTCTCTGCCACTGCCCTCTCTCCTCTCTGCCACTCTCTCTCTGCCACTGCCTCTCTCTCTCTCTCTCTCTCTCTCTGCTACTGCCTCTCTCTGCCACTGCCCCTCTCTCTGCCACTGCCTCCCTCTCTCTCTCTCTCTCTGCCATGCCTCACTCTCTCTCTCTCTCTCTGCCACTCTGCCACTGCCCCTCTCTGCCACTGCCCCTCTCTCCCTCTCTGCCACTGCCTCACTCTCTCTCTCTGCCACTGCCTCACTCTCTCTCTCTCTCTCTGCCACTGCCCTCTCTGCTGCCTCTCCCTCTCTGCCACTGCCTCCCTCTCTCTCTCTCTCTCTCTCTCTCTCTTAGCGTAATTACATTTTCTTCTCATTCCAAAACATGACACATTTTTTCCTGCTTGGTATACACTTTTTTCCCAACCATTTACACTTTTCCCCCAACTCAAGTACACCTTTCCCCAACCCAATTACTTTTTTCCCAACCTATTTACACTTTTTTCCCAACCCATATATACTTTTCTCCTCACTTCCTTTCTCCTTTCACATATCAGACTTCCGTGTTACTCTAATTATTTCCTTTTGTGGTAAGTAATTTCTTCAACCACAACCACCACCTTGCCCTCAACCAACCCAAAACATGTCGTCTAACCACAATTAACCACCACCAACCACAATCTCTCTCCCACTTACCACCAATTTATATACAGTCTATCATATCTCCCTACCACAATCTCGCTACCACCTCAAATCACCCCTCCCTCTCCCAGGCTCCCTCACCCCCCCATCTCACCTGGCCTGCCTGAGGTTATCAACATGGGGAGGGTCACCTGGGCAGGGAGGTTGGGGGGGTCGACCTGGGGGGCGCACCGGGTGGAGGTCGCACCGGGGAGGGTCGCACCTGGGGGAGGGTCGCACCTGGGGAGGGTCGCACCTGGAGGGTCGCACCGGGGGAGGGTCGCACCGGGGGGTCGCACCTGGGGGAGGGTCGCACCTGGGGGAGGGTCGCACCTGGGGGAGGGTCGCACCTGGGGGTGAAATATATGCTTGATATTATTGCCAATTTGGGTTTGGGTGAGGACAAGGGTCCTCCTCCTCCTCCTCTCTTCTTCTTCTCCTCCTGCTTCTTCTTCTCCTCCTGCTTCCTCCTCTCTTCTCTCCTCCTGCTTCTCCTCCTTCTCCTCTCCTCCTTCTGGACGGCAGAGAACGTAACAATAACTCCCCCACACTGTATCTTCCCTCCCTAATCCCTTCTCCCCACCATAGAATTACCATCGACCACCACCCCATTCCTTAACCACCCACCCACCTTACCAACCACCCAATGACCTACCATCGCCGTGAAGAATACCCGTCCTGTACCCGTAGATGACAGAGGCTAAAGAGATCGCCAGCGCCACCACCACGAAGACCACAGTAGTCGCCGCTAGCATCAAGTACCTCTCCATCCGAGTCCTCCTCCCGAACCAACCCGGCTGCCTGTAGGAAGGAAGACCATCTGTTAATAATATCAATGTGTGTTGAGAGGCAGGATAGGGGTGGGGGGGTAGGTGGAGAGGCTGGATAGATGGGGATAGGGTAGGATTTTAGTAGTAGGTGGGGAAGGATAGGATGGATGGGGCAGGGTGGATGGGGTGCAGAGGTGGATGGGTGGAGGGGTGCAGGATGGATGGGGTGCAGGGTGGACGGGGTGCAGGTGGATGGGATGGAGTGGGTGCAGGATGGATGGGGCAGGGTGGATGGGGTGCAGGATGGATAAGGTAGGTTGGATGGGGTGCAGGATGGTGAGTAGGTTGGATGGGGTGCAGGATGGATGAGGTAGGTTGGATGGGGTGCAGGATGGATGAGGTAGGTTGGATGGGGTGCAGGATGGATGAGGTAGGTTGGATGGGGTGCAGGATGGATGAGGTAGGTTGGATGGGGTGCAGGATGAATGGAAGGTAGGATGGATGGGGTGTAGAATGTTGAATAACAGGATGGGAAGGATAGATTGTAAGGAATAGGTGGGATGGGAGGGAGGGGGTGAGAGGGAAGAGGGGAGGGAGAGAGGGGGAGGGAGGGAAGAGGGTGAGAGGAAGGCCTAGTATTAGTAGTGAGCCTGTAGTGGTAATAGTGGTGACCTGTAGTGGTGACCCAGTAGTAGCAGGCGTCACCACAAGGCACCGCTAATATATATGATAATCCTGACGCCTTAACACCATTATTGATATGCAAATTTTCACTTTTCATGATGCCAAGACTAATGGGAGTTGTGGGGATTATGGGAATTGTACACCCCATACCCACACACTATACCTACACCCGCACCAACCCCCACGCACCACTACCCCCACACGCCTACACCCCCACACACACCACTACACCCCCCACACGCACCACTACACCCCACGCACCACTACACCCCCCACACGCACCACTACACCCCCACACGCACCACCACCCCCACCACTACACCCCACCCCACACCACCCCCACACCACTACACCCCACCCCCACACACACACCCCACACACCCCACACACCCCCACACACCACTACCCCAACACACCCCACCCCCACACACCCCACACACACCCACACACACCTGTACAGTTAATTACCACTATGATGATGCGACTTAACACACTTACGACGCTCTGTTAACTACATCAATTAGGTCATTGGGGATTAAACTACGGCGTAACGAGATGAGGAAGACGCAACACAACACCTTTGATGTAGACTAACACAGTGTTTAGCCCGGGGTCATACTGGGCGGCTCATACTAACGTTATATTATGGAGAGTTGTTGCTGAAATAACCTAACCTGCCCTCACCTAACTTCACCTAACCTAACTATAACCTAACGTCATATTAGTGTGAGTTGTTGCTGAAATAACCTACCCTCACCTACCCTCACCTAACCTACCCTCACCTAACCTACCCTCACCTAACCTACCCTCACCTAACCTACCCTCACCTAACAAACAATCCACCAACATCCCAAGTATTTTTTAGGGGGAAACTTAAATGATAAAAACTGGAGTAGGAAAATGAACACCCTGCAGCTGACGCGGTAGAGCGCCGTCAGTAGCCACCTGCAGGAGACAACAGGAGACGCGGGTGGTCGAGTCTTGGGGAGGGTGAGGAGGAGGGTGAGGGGGAGGAGGAGGGTGAGGAGGAGGAGGAGGGTGAGGGAGGAGGAGGAGGTGAAGGAGGAGGAGGTGAGGAGGGAGGAGGAGGAGGTGAGAGGAGGAGGAGGTGAGGGAGGAGGTGAGGAGGAGGTGAGGGGAGGAGGTGAGGGGAGAGGTGAGGGAGGAGGTGAGGGAGGAGGTGAGGAGGAGGTGAGGAGGGTGGTGATGGTGAGGAGGGAGATGGGGAGATTGGTGATGGTGTGAGGAGGAGGGTGGTGAGGGTGAGGAGGGTGAGTGATGGTGAGGGAGGAGGTGGTGAGGAGGAGGAGGAGGTGAGGAGGAGGAGGTGGTGGTGGGAGGAGGAGGAGGTGAGGTGGATGAGAGGATGGGGTGAGGAGTCAGAGGGGGCAGAGAGGTGTGTCCAGGTAGATGGCCGTGACTATAGCAACAGATATAAAGTACAAACATATGGATTACCTGAAGATTAGCCCTAGATTATCTCACCTGGTGATTAACCCCCCTAATGTTCGACCTGGAAGTAAGGTACCGACTATATACAGAGATAGTGAAGAAAATAGATTAAGCAAATAGACAAGTTAAAGCCTAATAAGTCACCTGGTCCCGATGAGATATTTGCCAGAGTATTAAAGGAATGTAAGGAAGAGCTTAATATGCCTTTAGCAAAGTTGTTTAACGTGTCCTTAAAAGCATGGTGTGGTGCCAGAATCATGGAGGATAGCGAATGTAATACCGATTTTCAAGAAGGGAGATAGATCACTATCCTCTAACTACCGTCCAATCAGTTTAACATCAATTGTAGGCTAATTACTGGAAACAATAATTTCAAACTCTATTCGAAACCACCTGGAGAAGCACAAGTTGATCAATGATTCCCAGCATGGCTTCACAAGCGGGCGTTCATGTCTAACTAATCTATTAACATTCTTTTCAGCTGTTTTCGAATCAGTGGACGAGGGGCATGACTGAAGTGGTATAACTTGACTTTAGCAAAGCCTTCGACAGAGTCCCCCACGAAAGACTAATAAGAAAAGTGGTTTTAAGTTAGACAAATTTTGATTTAGGCGCGAAATAGGTAAACATTGGTTTGGAAACAGAATAGTGGATGAATGGAACAAGTTACCAAATATCATCATTAACTCGAATACGCTGGATAGCTTCAAACATAGGTTGGATGGATATATGAGCAATAGGGATTGGGTGTAAATGGGACTGCCCAGTATGGGCCAATAGGCCCGCTGCAGTTTCCTCCAATCTAATGTTAGGTAAGGTCAGGTCAGGTTAAGTAAGGTACGGTCCGGTCCGGTAGTGAACATGGCCGGCCAAACCATCACATAACACTTCCGGTAAACAGTCGGGGCGTAACTACTGACCAATTGTTATTAGTTTATCCTTGTTGTTGATGTTTCCGGTGTTGGAACTATTTCAGCGGCACCCAAACTTTACCTTATGTAACCAAATCTAACCTACTGCAATCTAACCTAACCTAACCTAACCTAAAGCAATCTAACCTCTCCATCCTTTCTTCCTTCCCCCTCCTTCCTTTCCTCCCTCCCTTCTCCCCCCCTTCCTTCCCTCCCTCCCTCCCTTGTCCCCCTCCTTCTCTCCCCCTCCTTCCCTTCCTTCTCCCCTCCTTCAGGTGGTATTTACCGGCAGGGTGTAGAGGTGATCTTGAAGTCGACACCTGAATCATCACCGTCTAGAGGGTCCTCCGTCGACGCCTCCCACTGGTCACCTTCTACAGGAGTATACTTGCCTGTACACTGACTAACGAACACCATCTTGCGTACGTCACAGTTATAACGGACAGTACGTGGCTATGTAACTCACTCTGGTGTAACAATTGTCCTTTTCTCAGACCTCAACAATAAGGACAGCACGTACAATGGACTACCTCATGCACATCAACCGAATCCGTCTGTATCTCAAGTGTTTATGGTCCGTATAATACGCGTACGTGATCGGGACTTAATTCGGTGTATAAATGAATATGTTGTGTGTTCGTAGTCACTTCACAACACCAATTCCTCAAGAGAACGTCATAGAGTCAACAAACTGCTACCTTAAACACCTCCACCTTCACCGCCTCCTACAAGCAAACTAACCTTTCAGGGAACTTCAATAGTAACTATCCAAGACCTGAAACTGTTAACAAGTATTTACGTCAATATCATTTAACCATGATAGGATATATAATGAGTAACTAGTGACGAGATAGTGTCGCTGATGACTCCTAGATGGCGTTGATGTAAAGAGAAAGTCGACTGTTGTTGAAAGAGAGAGAGAGAGAGAGAGAGAGAGAGAGAGAGAGAGAGAGAGAGAGAGAGGAATATTTACTATTGAGATTTTCTTCAGTGAGATTTTGTCCATTCGAGCTCTGTCCAAGTGGCCACAGATAATGTCCAAACTCAATTCTGTCCAAACTTCATTCTACACTACTTCTGTCCAAACCTGATTCTGTCCAACTTGTGTCCATGATAATTGTGTCCAGGCATCCGTACAGTATACAGGCCATGATGCAGTGACCCGCTAGACACTACAGTTGAATCACTTGTTTACATGTAGCGGGTGCTGGTCCTAACAAGGGGGGGTGAGGGGTGGAAAGAGGGGGAGGAGGAGGAAGATGGGGGTGAGGTGGAAGAGGGGAGGAGGAGGAAGATGGGGGATCACCTGGTGTGTGTGTCCTCTACCGACGATTATATGTAATTGCAGGAAGAGGAGACAAGGGGGAGGAGGAAGAGGAGGAGGAGGAGAGGGAAGATGCAAGATAGGGAGGAAGAAGAAGAAGGGGAATAAGAAGAAATAAGAAGGATGCGGAGGAAAAAGAAGAAGGAGGAGAAGAAGAAGAAGAGGAGGAAGAAGAAGAGGAGGAGGAGGAAGAGGAGGAGGAGGAGGAGGGCCACTACACTGCTCGACATTTCCCAGAACCAAAACAAAGACCCTGAACCCCCCCCAACCTGTGTATCCAGCGGGGGTAAAAAATATTAATTTTCTAGGTTATTGATGCAAAACACTCTCTCAGTCTCTCAGTCTGTAATAATAATAATAATAATAAACGGTTTATTAATATAGTTGCAGCCGGTGGCTGAAAATATACAGACTTACATGTGATTTAGACATAATGATATAATATGCATTGAATACATTTACAGGACTGTACAGTACATAAATCAGGAGTTGTTTATCATTTTAACAATAGATGGGATGGTGCTGTTCTTGTATCTATCGGTGCGGGCTCTTATGGGCTGAATTTTGTTGTAGTGGCGGACTGGGCGAGGTCTGTCTATCTGTCTATCTGTCTCTCTCTGTCTATCTCTGTCACACACACACACACTCTTTCTCTCTCTC